CATTCGGCACCAGCCACCGCTGGAAGCAGGGTGGCCAATTATGCATTATAGGGGGGGAAATGCATCACCAAAAAAAGAAGATGAAAGGGGACACAGGTTTCCAATAAATTTGCACATGCTAATTCATATGTATATATGCAGATATAGACGTCATAGTAACAAAATAGAAATGCATCTCACCACAGGGAAGAAGGCTGATGAAGGAGAAACCTGTGCTGTTCATGAGCTAATCGCTGGAAGGTATTTTCAAGCCCTCCCTCCCTCTTCCTTCTGATGGTTCTTTATCTTTACACCAGGACCTGGACCAAACAGTAGGACATATGACCACTCTAAATGCAAGTGACTCCATACGTGAAGATTTTGAAGGTGAACCAGGAAGCAATTAATCCAGAATGAGGCAGCTAGACTGGTGACTGGGAGTAGCCGCCAAGACCTACATTGGCTCCCAGTATGTTTCTGAGCACAATTCAAAGGATTGGTGCTGACCTTTAAAGCCCTAAACTGCCTCAGCCCAGTATACCTGAAGGAGCATCTTCACCCCCATTGTTCAGCCCAGACACTGAGGTCCAGCGCCAAGGGCCTTCTGGCGGTTTCCTCACTGTGAGAAGCAAAGTTACAGGGAACCAGGCAGAGGGCCTTCTCGGTAATAGCGCCTGCCCTGTGGAACACCTTTCTATCAGATATCAAGGAAATAAACTATCTGACACTTAGAAGACAACCAAAGGCAACCCTGTTTAGAGAAGTTTTTAATGTTTGACGATAAAATGTGTTTTTAATGTTCTATTGGGAGCCGCCCAGAGTGGCTGGGGAAACCCAGCAAGATGGGAGGGGTATAAATAATAAATTATTATTATTTAGTGCATATGCTAGAATATATGCACATGTGCCAAATCTCTAAAATTATTTTAATGCCTTCATGTTCTTAAAAAACAACAACCATGGATGAGTTGTTTCTTTATCTCTCCATCTTTCCTAAAACGGTTTTCTCCACCACAGGGTAAAAATTGCCATGTGCTAGTTTAATTTCCTCCTTACTTACAAAAACCCTTGGATGTTTCCTTTCTTTGTCAGTGTAGTCGTTTTAATTAAAACCACGAAACAAATCAATGTTAAGTCATTTTGCAAAACTGAAGACCTGGATAATGAAATCTACAATGTGCTCTGCATAATATATGCAAATCACTGAAATATAACAGGTAGGATATCATTAAGATAATTTTATCAGAATTTCAAATAATTGGACAGTAAGATAAACAACTCTTAGGCCTCTGAAAAGGATGATTCATACTGATGAGAGCCGACATCTTTAAATTAGCTCTCAAGAGTGCATCTGAGTGAGGCCATCTGTTTCCCCTACCCCTTTAGTTTAAAACTTCATGAAAATATAGGTTTTTGATATACAAAAGCTTACGTGAATGTACAGTTGTTTTTCTGTAAATGATAGCAGAAAATTACATGCTGCTTTTCCCCCACCTACGGAATAAAATAAGGTACACTGAAGAACCAACTGTCTCCTGCCACACATCACAGGGCAGCACAGCACAGGGAGTCTGTGGAATCAAGTGGTGTCAATCTCCAGGCACTCAGCTACTGACCCCAGTCCTAAGGTATGGACTGCAAGGGAATAGATTCTCTTTTATATCATTAGAAATTCAACATGACATTATACAGACCACCTAAAAGTTTTAACTGCAACTTGCTATCAGCATTTTGATCCTAAACAATTTCAGCTGCCCTCTGTGCCTTCCGGCATCGTGCTGGTGGAGTTGGGGGTTTGCTGGGGTAGCCAGTCTTAGGACTGAGCTGCTAAAACGTTTTTCAGACTGTCTGATAAACCCATTTAGAGCCAGCGAGAAGGAAATGAAATCTGCAAAGTGATACAAAGCCTTGTTCCCTCTTGGAATATTTCACTGCTACATAGGTCTCCAAAAAAAGCAGTCCTGCGGTTATGTTTCACCTGAAATGTTTGCCAGTTCTTTCACTGTTACTTTTGCTGCCAAACAAACATAACAAAACAAACCTTTATGTTCCATAGCCTCAACATGTAATTCTGTATTATAATTTAAATGGTAATGGGAGTGTGTAGTAACTCGTGTATCGAATGTTTATTGAATTGTAGAGTTGTAGAGATTGTAGAGTTTATACCTTTGTGGATTTGGGGGCTTTTTAATTGAGCAAAAAGGTGGCCCCAGGAGCGATCTGTACCATTTCATCACCTGAGCAAAATGGGACTGTGCCGTCTTCCACCTCCCTGCTGTCCCCACCCTCTGCCGCTCCTCACTTCTACCAACACCAGAACTTGGTGAGAGGGGAACATTCAGCTAGTGGTGAAAGCAGTAGGGTGGGAGCTCCGCCTCTTGCACTTCCGCTGCCTGAGACAGCTCTGGGTGGCGCCGACTGTCAGTTTGTAGAACATGAGGAGGAGGAGGATGGGGTCAAAACCAGAATTAGTTGATTCTGTGTGTCACTGACTCCGGCTCTCCCTACCGTTGGCCTCACTGACTTCTGTTCCATCACTCTCAAAGGGCACCAGTCACCATTCTAACTTTGGTGTCCTCCCTGGCAATGTAATTTCTACAGAACATGTTATGCAACTGGCTGATTCTGCTTAATAAATATTTGCACTGCACACGCCTCAGTCAGAAGTTCTAGAAACAGACTGACCTGGGCCGTTGGTTTACTTTAGATAGGTTTTTGCAATATCTGTTTTATTTATAGGTATACAAGAGCATGTTCTTCTGTAAGGCAGCAGGCCATCAGATTCCCAGGGGAGAGACTTTGGATCTCCAAAACGCTTCTAGATTTCAGTCAACTCCTATCTCTTCCTCCCCACCCCCACCCCCAATTGCAGAACTCTACACACACACACACACACACACACACACACACACACTACATCAAGTCACTGACCTGAGGAGGATCCCATTCTCTTAAGCTCTGTTGGTGGTGACCTCTTTCAGATACACAGAGAGAATGCATTTCCAGGGGGAGCTAATGAATTTGGACACAGTTAGCAATCTCTTCAACCCTATAATTAAATAGGTGACAACTAGGAAAGCACTTCAACTGGGCAGGAAGTAGGAGGGTTTTTGTTCTTCCAGGCTGGCAGTCGAATCCCTGTGCCAGCACCATTCTCTGCTCCGTGCATAAATTAGCTGTTCTGTCCAGCTTGATACCCCCAAGAGATTGCCATCTGCCTCCCAGCTGTATCATCACAAGGCTCAAACTGAGATGCTATCTGGATTTCCCTGGGACAGCTACAAAGTCCACTGTGCAACTTTCCCTGGGAAAGAGTGCCACGTACAAACACATTTATGGTCATTTCTCTACCAATACTTGCCTGGTGTCTTTGACAGAAACACCACTGTGATATTTCAGCAGATGACAGAGTGGATTGCCTGGTAAGTTTCCACGCTAATGCACTTCACTGGACATTACTGCCTCATGTTGATACATTGCACAGTGGACATGGGGGTTTTCAATGGAAGAAACAGTGAGCTGCTTTGGCTCTCTCTATCCCCCTGTGTGTCTTAAAATACTTTTTCTTCCATTATTTCTTCCTCTGCCTTTTATAACTTAGAAAGCACACACAGGAGCCTTTGTTGCCCTAAATTTACTGTACATTTACCGCAACTGTATTATTGGCTTCCGGGTAGTCTCCAGCACCTATTCAAAAGCACTGGTTTTAAGTGGGTTTTTTTGGAAGCCTGGGTCCAAAATGCCTTATGGACCATTTTCTTCCATGCAACTATGAAGGCCTTCCTCAGATGCCTTGCTCTTGGTTCCCTCATTATCTGGGGGCAGGCAGTGGATGGAGGAGAATTGAGAGAGGGGCCTTTTCAGAAATAGCACCAAAAATAGCATCTTCACATACGTGTGTTGCTCTGTCTTTTCTCTGTTGGCCTTTAGCAAGGCTGGCTCAGGATGTTTTGCTGCCAGAGGCAAAACAGAAAATGTCACTCCCCTCCTGTACTTTTGTACGCCACTCACTGCCCACTTTCCTTGCTCATGCATTGCATTTCCAGATTTGTATAATGCCTAAATAAGACTAATGCAGGAAGCATCTGTGTACATGGAGCATATTGCTAATTTCTGCAAAGGTTTACTTCAGGAACGTTAATGTTCATTTAAATAATACCTGAGCACAGCAACCGTGATTTATTCGTCTGCTTTTATTTCAGGATGACACTGTCCCTCTGCTAAAGTTTAATTGGTATATATATATATATATATATATATATATATATATATATCCCAGCTTTTCAATTTATCATAGACTTGCAAGCCTCTTTTGTCCCATATTGGCCATCCATTGGCTCTCTGTGAAGCTCCACACAGAATCACGGTTTTAATGGATAGTCTGCTGAGGGGTAAGAGCGAAGGGATGACATGAATTACTTATAAAGTTCAGAGATATACTGTGGCTGACAACAAGACTAATGACTGGCTTCTAGGCTTAACTACTCCATTTCCCACCAACCCCTCACCTATAGGCTGTCATTAACAAACCGCAAAGGTGTAAATGGGTTGAGAACACAGTCTGATGCCTGGGTGTTCACAAAGTGATGGAAAAGCTATGAAATAATATGGGACGTGTACATTTTTCACGGCATCATATCTTAGCTTTAAATTCACAGGTATCACCTTCTGAATGAACATGCGGAGAGAAATGGCTGCGTGCCTTCCTTCCCCTTCAGATTTAGTGGGCAGGAGTCCTCTTTTACATCCAGACTGAGAGCGCAAAATGCTTTAGCAGGCTACAGTTAAGTCTGCATATTTTGGTAAGTCTCCCAAACAAAGCAAACGTGTTTCTGTGCTGGGCTGCGGTTCAACATTCTGTGTTGTCTTCCTGTGAACAATGCAGCAGCTTCAGCAAGAATGCATGTGTGGGAGAGAAGTGGGGTTAATCCTTCAAAACATAGAAACGTGTCATGGGAAACGCTCAACCATCTGCTTTTACTAATCATACAGGAACCCTGATCTTCAGTCCTCACCATCTTTTATCCAGAACACACAAAGGGGCCAAATGTGGTACAATGCAGTCTACGTGCATCAGCTCCAGGTTCAGCTTCCAGGAAGAAATTGTGGACTAACCCAATGAAGCCGGATGCTGGATGATTCTGGACAGATAAAAGAAAGTACTCCTTCACGTAGCATGTAGTTTAAACTATGGAACTCACTTTTGCAGGAGGCAGTGATGGCCATCAACTTGGGTGGCTTTAAAAGACAATCGGACAAAATCATAGAGGACAAGGCTATCAACGCCTAGTAGCCTTTTAACATTACACTTAATGGGAGAGGTTGTGGTAGGGAGAGTTCTTTTTACCTTACACTTAATGGCTGCCACTTCTCCAGCCCCACACTTGCGAATGGGGTCACGAAGTTGACTAGACTTGATTGCATGCAACTTCTGGTCTAGTTCGCTTCTCTCTTCATGGAGGACAAAGGAAAGAAACGTTATTGCCGTGCAGCTTTGAGAGGAAGCTCTACAAATATATATAATCAGATAGTTCAGCAATATAGGATCTGTTCTTCTAGAACCCAACATAGTTGGGTTAAATGAGCAACAATAACAAAACAATGCACATTGTTAGACATCTAAGCTTTTTATCTTCAGTAAACTTCTGCCTCACTCATTGGTACATTAGTAATAAGAAGCTTTTTCTCTTTTCATATGATGCATTGTTTGGACATACAAAGTGCATGTTGTCATATTGTAACAGCTCACCCCCAGTTAAATGTGAGACAGTTGATTAGGGTATTGCCCTGCTAGATTCAGTTTGCAAGTCTTCTGCAACACGTACATCTGATGATAGAAACCCTGTGTGAGAGTGTGCATACACACACATTTACGTGCACACACAGACAGACATGTGTGCTTGGAATTGAAAAGAAGGATGTGTCTATAGTTCAGCAAGGCAATTGAGTTGGCTTTTATTATTAGATTCATTGCTCAGACAATAAAAGTAAGATCTTGCGGCCGGCAAAGTGCACTTTCCCTCCCCTTCCCAAATGATGTCAAATCACAAGGTGCTTTTCAAACTTGTCGTTGTAATAAAGAAAAATGTGCTTTGAACATACTTCATTGCAACTGTTCTCCCGTGTATTGTATTGAAGTGGAACACTTCAAGCTGAGAAATAACATTTTTGAAGAGAAAATATAACCCGCTTCAACTGTTTCAAAGGAAAATGTATGAGTATATATAAATGATAAACTTTCTGGGTATTAATGGACAAAGAAAAATGGTGTGATAAATGACCTTATTTGTAGAAACACAAGAATACATTTTTGGACTTCAGCTCTGCTCCCCAACTGTCTGCCATTGACACTGGCTTGCTGAACCAAAAATTGGCTATTTCATAAAGCTTAAGCTGTAGCTAGGGTTTTACAAAGCACTCAGTACAATGGTATTGAAGCATCACAATCCATTGGTTGTTAGTATCAACAAAAGCTAGCAGTATGGGACATTTTGCATATGTACAGCTTGCACTATTGGAAAATAAATCAATATAGAAAATAAATACGCTATCACACATTAAGCCCTTTTGAAAGCTCAACTGGTGCTTGATGTTCACAGGCTTCCTTTTTCAATGAGACATCACGAGCAGCTCCGTAAGAACATTAAGAAGGCTCTAACAAGAGCAAACCAAAGGTCTATAAAATCCAGCTTTCTGTTCTTGCAGTGGCCTTCCAGATGCCTATTGGAAGCCCACAAGCAAGACCTAATGGCACACTCCTAATTCCACGTGTGCATCCTTTCGATGCACACGTCTCAAATGTTGCAGTGAAGGAAGAAGCCTTGTCTTGGAGAAGGGATGCGGGTGGTGCTGTGGTCTAAACCACGGAGCCTCTTGGGCTTGCCGATCAGAAGGTTGGCGGTTCGAATCCGCACAACAGGGTGAGCTCCTGTTGCTCCGTCCCAGCTCCTGCCTACCTAGCAGTTCGAAAGCATGAGCCACACTTTATTGTTTTCAGTGGAACACACGTTTGAACATGCATCCCCATCAACATAATGGCACAGCCACTCATGTGTAAAGGTTACTAAGCTAAATCAGCACCTTGGTATTTAACAGATAATGTGTGATCAACTTTTGCTTCGAACCTAACACGTAGCTTTTCCAGCCCATTAACAGGTATTTCAGACTGAAACAGCTGAATCGTGACTCCTATAAAGTTGTGTCTGGTATTAGGCATAAGGGGCACAGATAGAACAGCATTAACAACATTTGGTACACACATGCTAAGAGGAAAGTTGCTTCTTTGCTTGTATGTGTGCCAATACATGACATCAGCTCTATTGCAAGTTTACCTTGTATGAATATAGCACATTTAACCATTGCTACCCAAAGCTTTACTAACATTAATGAACTCTTACAACGATTGAGATCGATCCTGTGCTGTTTCAGAAAACGGAAGCCTTGTTAAATGCACACCTAAGAAAAGCACAGATGTAAATAGCAACAATGCCAGCAGCGCAGCTCAGTGCAATGCAACCATGCATGTAAGCACCACAGAGTTCATTGGCGCTTACTCCCAAGAAAGTATCCATAGGAGTGAATCAGATGTAAAAAGTAAAAAATGATGCCCCTTTTTCTTTATTGGAGCACACAGCTGTTTTTTTGTTTTTAAATGACAAGTAGAAAGATCAAGAACAGATCGAACAAGAAGGAGACAAATTGAAATTGCAGAGCTTTGAGAAATTAAAAGACAAAGTGCGAGATTGGCTTCACTATTATCAAATAAGGGAGGCTTATAATTTGGACAAAAAAATTGGTTTCCAGGTGGAAAAATCAAAACTAGAAACAGAACTCTTAGAACCCAAAACTAAGATTTTGTCAAAGATGTATAACTTGCTGTTGAAATGGAATACTCAGGATGAAACGGTGAAATCTGCTATGATTAAATGGGCACAAGATGTTTGCTGACTGGGAACAGTTGTGGACTACTGGTATGAAATTCACGGCATGTAATGCCCTAAGAGAGAATATTATGAAAATGATATACAGGTGGTACATGACACCAGTCAAGCTTGCAAAAATCTATCATTTGCCCGATAATAAATGTTGGAAATGTAAAGAAACTGAAGGTACATTCTTTCACCTTTGGTGGATGTGCCCAAGGATTAAGGCTTTCTGGGAGATGATTTATAATGAATTGAAAAAGGTATTTAAATATACCTTCTTGAAGAAACCAGAGGCCTTTCTCCTGGGCATAGTCGGCCAATCGGTGTTAAAGAAGGATAGAACTTTCTTTATGTATGCCACAACAGCAGCAAGAATACCTATTGCAAAGTACTGGAAGACACAAGACCTACCCACTCTGGAAGAATGGCAGATGAAGGTGATGGACTATATGGAATTGGTGGAAATGACTGGCAGAATCCGAGACCAGGGAGAAGAGTTGATGGAAGAAGACTGGAAAAAGTTCAAAGACTATTTAGAGAAATATTGCAAAATTAATGAATGCTAGAATGATGTTGAATAGAAACTAAGTGGTCTTTAGCTGCAATGTTATAAGGGAATATGAAAAAATGGATTATTAATAGGTAAAAATTTAATGTTACAATACTTTATGATTAAAGACTAGGATATACAAAGAGGGGAGGGATTTGCTGAACTAATAAATTGAACTGGAATACAAAAAAGGGAGGCGTGAGGAGGTCCGGGAAATAAGCAAATGAAAGATAAGTAATGGAAAGAATGAATTGTTTTTAACCATTTTTATTTTCTTTTTTTTATTCTGTAATATTCTGAAAATCTTAATAAATATCTTATAAAAAAAAAGAAAGAAAGATCAAGAACAGATCTTGCCATTGTTCCTATAAAAAAAAGGGAGCAAGCACGCCAGAGATCATATTAACAGGAAGAAGAGTCCTAGCACGGTGGCGGGTGTGTGTGTGTGTGTGTGGAAAGAATGAATAGGAGTAGCAGAGTGAGATATCAGAGACCTAACAAGACAACGACTTTGGAAAGAGTGAAAGAGGGCATTAAAAAGAAGGTTCAAAAGTTTTAAATTGTAAGTGAAATTCAATAGATAACTTTAAAGTAGGCACACTACTAAGACTCAAAGTCATGGCTACGAGTATTTTTTCCCCCTCGGTCAAAGTCAACCTTGCCCATTTTTTCTTGCGGTCTTCTTTCCACCTCTGTTATTCACATACCCCAAAGACTCAGCGGCCTTTTAATAAATTGTGCGCCTACATATCAAATCCTGATTGTACTGGATTCACATATACTGTACCAAGTTTCAAGAATGTGTAAAGCATTGATCTTAATGCACTGCTATAGAAGGACAGCTTGAAATGGTTCTGGCTGCTGTGGCATTGGCTTCTTCCTTTTGATCATGCACAGCATTATATTTTAGCATCCATTATGCAGAGGTTGTTGGGACCTTTATCTACAACAAGGTGAACTTTCAGGAGTGACATTTATTCAGTACAAAGGGCCATAGCTCAGCAGCAGAGCTACAAATGTCCCTCATCTGTATCCTTGTAGAGTCGCTGCCAGCCAGTGTTTGCATTCAAGGACCCATGTCAATTTCAGAAGTGCATTACGTGCTTTTGGCCCCTGTTCCAAAGAAGTCACAAAATCCATTTATTTAAAAAGAACGTCACAAAACTAAAATAATTTCTAAAGAACACTAAGAGATTGGTTTCATGAAACAACAACTTAGAATGCTCTTATTATTCTGATCTTTGTTTGAAGTCCAGCAATGCTAATGATGGTCTCCAGTATCTAAATATAAGTGAATACAATCTTTTTCCTCATCGTTCCCCTGAACTGATCTAAATGGCTAAAGATTATTTGCAGTTCTATTCTAATAACATCAGCATTTCTGCTGGGGATGACTGCTCTGTATTTTGCATACAGAAAATGGTTACGAATAGTTCAACATACCCGCCTCCCCCCCCCGGGTTTTCAATACCCCCTTTACTCCAGTCCCCATTTACATAGACCAATCTATGTATCAATCCATGCATCTCAGCATCAGCATCTATAATAAAACAGCACACACACAGATGGCACCAACTGGCTCATCTACCCGCAAAGGGGCTTTATAAAAGCCATTTGTAAAGACCCCTGTAACAGCCATTGATTATGTCCGAAGACAGAGAAAGACTCTATGCTCTTCTTCACAGTGGCAATCATTGGTTAGGCTCAGGAGGAAGGGGCTCTCTTTATTAGCACCAGGGCCAGGGCACTGGGGAGAGGAGGAGGGGGGCATGATACTAAAGGGGCTAAACCTTTTATCTGTACCATTTCCCCAATATAAATGAATCGCTCCCATACCACCCTAATAGTATGGTGGCTAAGAGATGGAGCTGTAAAGTCCCCAGTGTGAATCTTGTTTCTGCTATGAACTCACCAGGTTGGCCTAAGCAAGCCACTCTCTCTTATTCTCCGCCTAGAATAGGGAGGATAATAATACTAATTTACACAGGGCTGTTGTACAGATTACACCCAGATGATGCATGTGAACATTTGAAAATGCTATTAAAAAGTTGTAGTTGCTGTTGTTGTTCGCAATACAGACAAGCTTTGAGGGCTGCTTTTCTGATTTAAATTAGGGAAATGAAAAATTGGGCAAACGAAATCAGGCAAAGAAAGATTCAATTCTGGATCGCCTCCATCAGATCTAGCTTTGTCTTTAGGGCCAACTAAAAGAAAGAGCATGAGATACATTGTCAGCTGCAGCAAAGCAGTCTCTCCTCTCACTGGTATAATTGTAAAGGATTTGGTCTGTTATTCTGGATCTAACTCATATTGTTGTTTCAGCTGCTTATTTAGTCTCAAGGAGGAGTGTCAACACACTTCCTAAAGGAAGGTAGACTAGTCAATGTTCTCTTCCAACATAGTGGGAAAATAAATATTCCCCACCTTGTGGGGTCGGGGAGGAAGCCAAAAATGAAGTGTTAATTCATGGGTAGGCAAAATAAGGCCTGGGGGCTGGATCCGGCCCAATCGCCTTCTAAATCTGGCTTGTGGATGGTCCGGGAATCAGCGTGTTTTTACATGAATGTGTCCTTTTATTTAAAATGCATCTCTGGGTTATTTGTGGGGCCTGCCTGGTGTTTTTACATGGGTAGAATGTGTCATTTTATTTAAAATGGATCTCTGGGTTATTTGTGGGGCATATTCCCCCCCCCCCCAAAAAAAATATAGTCCAGCCCCCACAAGGTCTGAGGAACAGTGGACCGGCCCCCTGCTGAAAAAGTTTGCTGACCCCTGAGTTAATTGGAGACATGGCCTGGAAGACAACAGCATCTGTTGGCAGTGTAATATGGGAATATTCCTGCCCTTTGTAAAGACACAGGGTTTATTTATGTATTTTAAAGATTTATATAATAAGCACCAACCAAGGATGGTAACCCAAAAACTGAAAATCTAGATGTATTTATATTAAGAAATGTACCGTTAATTTCAATAACCTTCATTTGAAGGTCTCACCCCCCCCCCTTAAACTTTTATCAATCAATGGCCATTGTTTGTGCATTCAATAACGGTAGGATTTTGTTCAGCCTTTCTTTTGTGAATTGGAAGGACGGTCCCTCCTCTTCACACACAAAACCAATTGAGCAGCTATTGGCTGCAAGGTTTTTGGTTTGGTTGTCACCAAATGTTTTGGAAAGATAAGAGCTTAATAAAGTTACAGCATGATGTTTGAATGGCTAATTGTTTTCGATTTACTGCAGTTAATGTTTGCACTAATCTTTTTACAAGCAAATTAAATGGATGGATTTAATGGATGGCAACTGCAGGGCTTTTGTTTGGTTTGGTTTTGTATCTGCAGCATGCAAAAGCCCTCCAGCAACCACATTTTTAAATGTAAAACAGAATGACAAAGCACCAAACTCTGGGTTTTTTTTAAAAAAAAAAAATCATAATTTGTAGATATTTCAGTTACTAGTCTAGAGATGCTGGTAAAAATATGTCTGCTTCTCTGGTAAAAGAAAAAAACATTATATGCTACTATAGTACCATGACACTCTGCCAAAAATTTCCATATTCAAGTGCTAAATAATTGTAGGATTGGATGAGACCCCAAGTGTCATCTAGTCCAACCTCTTGCAATGCAGGCACTATGCATGGTGCAGCAGGTAGGTGTCAATATATTTACTTTTTTAAAAAACAACAACAGCAACACCTTGGACAATGTAATGTGCAATGTGTTCACAATGGGTTATCATGTTATTTTCTTTTGTGGCAGAATTACGGTAGCATTTCCCCAACAGACCCAAACCAAACTGTTCAGATGGATTAAAACATAGATCAGTTGCTCTGACTGAATTAAAAACTATTGCTGCCCTAAGCTGCCATTAACTGAACGCTGTGATGTATTTTTTGGCTGGGGAAACTGGCGTGATCAATGCTGCTAATCTATGATGTAATTTTTCATTGTCTGGTGTGATAAATCATAGATAGAATGATTATCGTGGTCTGTATACACGGGGCTGCCTTTGAAGATGGCTCAGAAACTGCAGCTGGTGCAGAAACCAGGAGCAAAAGTACTGATGGGAACAAAGCAGCTTGAACATATAACACTGGTTTTGGCACAGCTGGCTAAGCCACTTTGAATATACGCAGATGCAGCATTCATCCTCTTGAGTCGCTTCTCCAGGTGGCCCCACTGAGAAACATTCGGGGGGCGGGGGGGGCAAGAGAGAGGTTCCCCATCCATTGTAGTTCCCCATTTATGGAATAATCTCTCATGAGGCCTGCTTGGTGCCAACATTAACATCCGTTCAATGCCAGGTTAAAACATACCTCTTCTTCCAGGCGTTTGAAGAAATATGGTCATCATTACTACTGGTGTTTCCATGTTATACATATCTTCTTTGAAGGGGCATTGTTGAACCACGTGAGTTTCAATTGTGTATGCAAATTGCGTAGAAATGTTTTGTATTAGGCAAGAAGGATGCAGCTAGCCCCATATGCCTGATGTTACCGTGTGCACTTAAAACATGAGCCTGAATATTTTCAAGAACCGGCAAATGAAACCCCTCTCTCTTAAGTAGTATGAATATGGGTATGGGTTGGCTTCATCTGTACAGTCCACTTTTCATCTCTGTGATGCAGATCTAGAGCATGCCATAAAATTAGTTTCCGGTCCCAATTCAAATTGCTGGTATTGACCTATAAAGCCTTAAACAGCTCAGGACGGCAATACCTCAAGGACCGCCTCTTTCCATATTAACCCACCCGGACCCTGAGATCATCTTCTGAGGCCTTTCTTCGTGTGCCTCCTCCTCAAGAGGTCCGGAGGGTGACAACAAAGGCCTTCTCTGCAGTGGCTCCCCATTTGTGGAATGCTCTCCCCAGGGAAGTTCGCCTGACGCCTTCATTATACACCTTTAGGCGCCAGCAAAAATATTCCATTTTAACCTGGCCTTTGGTTGATTTGATTGATATTGTATGTCCTTTTAAAATGTGTTGGGGTTTTTTTTTGGTGGGGGGGGAGGGTTATTGGGTTGTTGTTTTTATTTTGATTAAGGTATGTATTTTGTGGTTTTACATTTTGATTTTATTCTGTGAACCTCCCTGAGACCTGTGGGTATAGGGTGGTACATACCGGTATATAAATTCAATTAATAATAATAATAATAATAATAACATCAGTTAGAAAACTTAAGTATACACTGATGTCATACTCACCTGTGTTATTTCCATGCATCCCTCTTACCTGAGGGGAGCAGTAAGTTGTGATTCTGTTCCCTTCTGCCTCCAGGGACAACAAATGGGCTAGAATATAAAACATAACACTGTTAGCCTACATATACCCAAGTGACACCATTCTGCTTTGCAGGGCAACTGGCATCATTGGGCCAGAGGTTAGGCAGCTACACCAGTGCAAGGAGACAAGGTGCCCCCTGGTGCCCAACTTGTAATATGAGATAGTGCGTGTTTTTAGGATCCATTTGACAACTGGCAAATTTTATTTTATTTCAAGATTATAAATAAATAGTTTTTGAATGGGTATTTTTTGGGGGGGTGTCTAGTTCCATGTCTGTGAACTCAGCATGCATCCCTTTTTATTGTTATTTTTATATTAAGCGGTAATATTATTCAGAAAGGAAAAACATGCCTACTGAGGTTACAAGCACTCCTGTTTTAAATGAGGTACAAACTGCATGACTCAGGCAATTTAAAAATGCAGATTACCAGACTCATAAACCCTTAGATGAATTTTGGTGCACAAAGATAATGACTAGACCTAATCCCTAATATTGGAGATAATGTTTAAACAAATGTATTTAATTTAATGAGACACCTGGACAAGCTTATTTAATTCACCCTTGCATCTAATTAGCTGTATTGAAGGGGCAGTTACTATATTTCATCTTAAGGATTCTCCCCCCACCCATTTCATATTAATCCTTTTAATACCCTCAAAGGAAGCACAGATGAAAACAGGGAGGGGCGAATCTTGTTAATTAACCTGGACCTCTGGAAACCCTTTTCTGGGGTGTTATAGAGTGCTGCTAATACTCTGACCTCCTATTAAAATCTGAGTTCTGTGCATGAATAATAATAAGTATGCAAATAAATGTATGCTGTTGCCAGAAAGAGGACTGTGTTAATATTAAGTTCTTCAATAGTTATACCTAATCATATAAAACCAAACATTATATTAATAAAAACTGTGGTGTTTCCCTTGTATTTTAGAAGATTTCCCAGAGCAATGAAAACAACGGCCTAAGGCCCCAATCCAAAGATGCTGCCTTGAGCTCCTTGGGAGGCAGGATAAAATTGTGTAATAATAAGAAGTAGCAGCATATAATGCCAATCCTGCCCCAACTGCCAATTAGTTTCTGGGCCCAATTCAACATGCAGGCTTTGACCTATAAAGCCTCTCCCCATATGAACTGACCTGGACCCAGCAGCCCTTCTTCATGTGCCTCCTCTGCGAAAAGTCTGGAGGGTGGCAACATGAGAATGGACTTTTCTGTGTTGGCTCCCCTGGCGCCCTTGTTACATATCTTTACAGGGGTGCCAACTTGAATAAAATATTGTGGGGGCCCAAATAGGCCCCGCCCCATTTAACTGATCACAGGACACAGTGCACACATACCATTTGAATGGGAATGCCCATCAACTTATTGCCCAATATTTTATTGTGGGGGTCGAAACCCCCACAGCCCCTAGGAGTTGGCTTCTATGCTTAGGTATGTCTCTCAGGCAGGGGGTGGACTTTCAAATGCCCTCAGTGCCCTATGTAACGCCGAAGTTCGGTACCCCCTGCCTTCTGTTCTCTGTGTGTGCAGTATTGAATTTGCTTTATGCCAGACTGTTTTACTTGATGTTTCAATGTGTTGTCTTTTTTCTTTTTTTTGATACAGTGGTACCTCGGGTTACAGACGCTTCAGGTTACAGACTCCACTAACCCAGAAATAGTACCTTGGATTAAGAACTTTACCTCAGGATGAGAACAGAAATCCTGCTCTGGCGGCTAGCTGAAGTGGTACCTCAGGTTAAGAACGGACCTCCAGAACGAATTAAGTTCTTAACCTGAGGTACCACTGTATTTTTATTTAAAATATTAAGCAGTATACAAATGAAATTAATAATAACTACAATGCCCTGTGGTGCCCAGTGCAGGACCGTAGCTACTGAAGGTAATGGGGCCCTTTATATGTCCAGCTGTCCTCTGTCAACAACAAATTGTCGCTGTTTTTTGTGTTGAATATATGCTGTACGGTAATTTATGGACCTATTAGGTATCTAAAGCCATTCGCACATAACAAAATATGCACATCATAGGAGCCCACGAAACACTGTTGCTGTATGTAGGTTTTATTCTATTTGTTTTTTATTTTCTATTTTGGAAATGTACATCCAGTTTTTTTCCCTTTATTTTTTTGGGGGGCCCCCAAGAGAGTGGGGCCCTAAGCTATAGCTGGTTTAGCTTATACAGAAATCCGTCACTGGAAGTGCAATGTTAACCTGATGCCGTCAATTTGCCTCTGCCCCAGGCCTTTCCCCCTTAATAATTAATTAAACAATTTTTAGCCTTTAAAACTGGGGGTATATTGTTTCTGTTTGTTACGATGTTATGCTTTGTTTCCATTGTAAACCGCCCTGTGATTCTCTCGGATGAAGGAAGGTTTAGAAATCAATAATAATAATAGTAATAGTAATAATAATAATAATAATAGTAATAATAATAATAATAATAATAATAATACTCTTGCATTGGACAAACGCTTGGATTTTGCTTCGGAACATAAACTCACGTGCACAAGACAGAGCTTCCTTTCAGTAGCTCCAGCCACCCGAGGAAATACGTCGTGTAACGAATATATATATATATATATATATATTAAAAAGTGAAAAAGAGAAGCGAGTGAAACGAGAGAGGGTCCGGGAACAGAAGGCGGGGAAGGAGAAGGAGGGAGAGAAAGGGGGAAAGCAGAAGAGGAGGCAAGTGCGGGAGCGGCAGCGCGCACAAGGAGTTGCGCTGGGTCGCGGCGCCAGGCCGAGCGATGGGGTGGCGCGTGGCGGGAATCCCTCAGGCGGCGGCGCTGTGGCTGCTCTTGGTGGCCTGCGCGGGGGCGCCGCTGTTGGCGCTGGCGCAGCCGTCCAAGGTGTCTCGCGGCGTCGCCGTGCCCTTCGTCTTCGACCCGCGCGCCGTGTGCGACGCCCCGCCTTGCCAGCACGGGGGCCTGTGCATCCGGAACGGCACCTGCTTCTGCTCCAGGGGCTACGAGGGCGAGCGCTGCCAGTATGGTTGGTATAACGGCTAGAAGAGCGGGTGGTGGCCTTAACAAGTGTGGGGGAGGGGAAGCCCCCTTCCCGTGCAAGGTGTAGGTCATTGCTGGACTTGAGATGTGTGTTTTCAGGATCCAACCACGTTCCTTTGACTATCGGTGCTGAATTTTAAATTGCTGTAACCCGCCCTGGGATTTTGCTGGGAAAGTGCCAGTAATAAATGTAACCCTAGTCCCTCTGGCGCAGGTTTGCAACTAAGCTCTCCTGCCTCTCTGCACCAGCCTTTCTTCGGGGGCTGCCCATCCGAAGGGATGGAGGAGCGACCCTCCGGGTGGAGGCAGATCAGAGAGCCCTCTGGGGCGAGGTGGCAAGCTTCTTTACGGTCCCATTGTTTTCTTGGAATTAGTTTTGGGAGTTTTACTTCGAAGTCAAACTGCAGTCCTCTGCATGCACGTTTACTTGGGAGAAATGCATGGGTGTTGGGTATTCCAGATTATAAATACGCAGGAAAGGGGTTAGTGCACATTCAGGATCGAAGGTTTGCTGCCCGATCCTATCGTTTACTTGGAAGCCCCGTCGATTTCTGGCTGTCATACTCTCACAGACAGGAAATCGAGTCAAGTCCAGGAAAGCTAACACTACAGTAAGACTGCAATCCTATACCTTGGGCACAAGGGGACCTTATTTCAAGTAAACATGAGTAGGATTGAGCACTACACTTCTGTTAATCTCCTAAAGATTCCTGCCACAAAGCTCATGTTTTGTGTCTGCTGTGAAAGTTGACTGCCTGGAGTTTGTCAGCATTGATTTCATTGGTGACGCTTGTTCCCAAGAAAGTGTCTGTGGGATTGCAGTAGTGAGAACAAAGAGCATTTTGGCTTCAGCAAGAGATTCTTCTTACTGAAAGCAAGGTCTTGCTTGGCTGACAAGCCCCGCCTCAATTCTTATACTGAAGTGCTTTTACAGGAATCCTTTCGTGACTATGGAGGAAGATGTAACCCAAGTATTCATCTGGTGGGAATAATGTGCTTGGCTGTTCCGCTTGCAAGTCACCCTTTTTCCAGCATTAGGGAAAATGTTTGAGCAGGGAATCTAAAAAAGAAGAAGAAATGCTGACCCTACTTTGTGTACTGCTTTTGTCCTCCTGAAAGTCCCAGATCCCAAAGAATAGAGGTGGGGGGAGATATGGGGGTGGAGCACACTTCAGGAACTTTCTGTAGTCCTTTCCTAAATATTCAGCTTGTTTAAAAGTAGGTCTCTAGCCCTTGTATATCTCTAGAGCCAGTATGGTGCAGTGGTTAAGAGCGGTAGACTCGTAATCTGGGGAACTGGGTTCTCGTCTCCGCTCCTCCACATGCAGCTGCTGGGTGACCTTGGGCCAGTCACATTTCTTTGAAGTCTCTCAGCCCCAATCACCTCACAGAGTGTTTGTTGTGGGGGAGGAAGGGAAAGGAGAATGTTAGCCGCTTTGAGACTCCTTTGGGTAGTGATAAAGCGGGATATCAAATCCAAACTCTTGTAGAAACTTTTAGAGAAACAAGGAAGAATTCAGCGACAGTATGCTCTCCAGTTGATCCCTGTGCACCAAAGTTGTTTCTGCCTTCTGGTGTTCTGACTAATGAGTGCAAAGGCATGGGGACAATTGACAAGTGCTGGGGGAGCTAGGGAATATTGCATGGATTGTGAATGGAGAAACTTTTTGACAAACTTTGTGGACAAACCTATCAGTGGTTAGTGGAGCCTGGTGCAAAAGTGGACGTGACTCTTACCCAGAGCTTTCCAAATTGTGTGCCACGACATGTTAGTGTGTCGGCTGCAGTGTGTAGGTGTGTCACACATACGCTCCCCATGCTTTTCCCGTGGCTGGAAAGGGTTAGTTTAACCTCTGGTTTGCTAGTAAAACCGAATTACTGTGTCATGAAATGATGCAAAACTGAATTACTGTGTCGCGAAATGATGCACTTCCAAAAAGTGTGTCACCAACTTGAAAAGTTTGGAAAGCTCTGCTCTTATCTTCGAACTGTGGGTTACATTCTAGCTGTACAAATTCAGATGTTTCTACAGACACCCATTACATCTCTCTCCATCTTCGTTCTGGCAGGCAAGAGGCATTGCCATCGTTCAAGGAAGGACAAATTCCAGCCAGGCAAAAGCACTCAAGGACGGTGTGCCCCAGAGAAAGCCTTGAGGGCCAGTAGAGAGACCTAGAACACCCAGGCCTGAGGTTCCCCACCCCTGCACTAAGTCCTTATTTCTAATGTAGCAAAATGTTTTTAAAAATTGAATTAACATTTAATTAATTCATTTTATTTACTTTTATGCCCAGTAACAAAAGTTCTCAGGGTGGTTTATGATGGCATATTTGTGTGCTCTGGCTGTACTATGGTGATTCCCTCCTGCTTTAAACTTCTTCACCAAAAACCTTCAAGACCTCAGGATTCAGTCTGAGATATAGGTAAGTTGAGTAAAAGCTGGAAGATAGTGAGGACATGGTGTTTTAAGCCTCAAGGCTAGAAGCAAAGAAGATGAAGGGTTGCAAAGAAGATGAAGGGTAGGGTTGCCATATTTCAAACAGTGAAAATCCAGACAGAAAAGCTGCTGAGCAAAAAAATACCGTTTTTTAATGAAAAACGGCACTGCCAACATGGGCTGCCATACGTCCAGATTTCCCCTGACATTTTTTACCAATTTCCACCCAGACACTGCTGCTGACTCCAGTGTCCCTGATATGTCCGGGAAATCCAGGACATATGACAACCCTATGAATAGGCCCAGTCTGTCCCTCAAAACTCAACAATCTGTGGAGGCCATTTTGATATTTTGCCAAACATAGCCTAAGGCCAATGCTTGTTTGTTAATTTGTTTTGACATTTACACACCATCTTTTATGATTTAACTCAAACTCAATGAAATTCAATTTGATTATGAATTAAATTTCAACTTAAAATTATAAATCACAACAAGGTTCAAGCAATCCTAATACTTAAATGAAACATCCAGAAGAATGGCAGCATAAAATCAGCCATCAACAACTGAAAGAAAACAACACCAGTGGCTTATGCTGCCAGTGGCTTTAACTTGTATAATATGCCTGCCAGAATACAGCCTTGGGGAAATGTATAAAAGTAGATACCTTTATTGATACAGACAGTATAATGAAAGGAGATTATACCAATTAATCAGGTATAGTTATGTCTGGGGTGGAAAGCTACTTATAAGGATTATCACAAGAGGGGGTCGAATATGAAGAATCTTTTATTTGCATAATTGAATTAGGAATAGTTCTTTGGAGAATCAAATGCATATCACTCTCTATTAGTAAAGTGAATAGTTAGCATGTAGCTACTCTGGGTATTAAAATGGGTGGGTCCCTGAAGATGGGAAGAAACAAAACCCCTCTAAGTATGCAAACAAATCTTGCTTTTAAAAAAAGAAAGCCCAACTTTTACTTTAAAACCTGGGTTACAGAGCTACTACCACCACCCTATATCCATGGATCTCAGTGTGGTTCACAACGTAAAATCACAATATAAAAAACAGAAAAGGAAAAAGGAAAAAATACATAATGAATATGTGTGTGTATATATATATATGTGTGTGTCTGTGTGTGCGTGTGTATATACCTAATATGTACATGCATTTAATAAATAATAATACATTTAAAAGGCCATAAGCTGTTTAATTAGCACAAGGCCTGGGAGAAGAGGAATGTTTTTGTCTGGTGCCTGAAGATTTGTAACGAAGGTGTTAGGAGAGACTCCCTGGGGAGAGCATTCCACAAGTGGGGAGCCACTGCAGAAAAGGCCCCTTCTCGTCTTACCACCCTCTGGAGCCACCTTCATGAAGGAGGTACACGAAGAGTGGCCTCAGATGATGATCACAGGGGCCAGGTCAGTTCATATGGGGAGAGGCAGTCCTTGAGGGACTGCAGTATTTTGTTGAACATTTGAACAAGTTTTAAAATACTAATAAATGCTTACTGCGACCTTTAAAAAATATTTCAAGGATTTAATAAGAATTTTGAAAACACTACCAAATGGAGAAAAAAGAATGGTAGCAGTGGACTACTTATGGGCAATACTTATTGCAATGCACTGAAATATTTTTTTCTGCTCTTCATTCATGAACAATGATTTAAATAATTCTTGCTCACATACTTTTTTGAGAAGTGTTTCTTCTTGTGATAAGCTGCTAATGTTTGCCATTCATTATTTTTTTGTTAAAGTGCACATCTTTTTATTATTTTAAAAAAATTGCCATTTCCAACATTTAATTTGTGCGTTCAGAGACCAGAACCGTCATCACACATTATAGACTCCTGCCAGTAAATTCCTGGTGATCACCTGAATCTCAATTTAATCCATAATGCAAGTCCAGAGGAAAACCTGAAAACGTTCTATTGAAAATTGTTTGCAGATAGCAAATACATCGAAATCGGGATTGGCTCATGAATGATTTATTAGCCAAGAACTAGCTAAACTTGTCAGATAATTTGTTTGCACAAAATCATCGAAGCAGCCGTATGCCAAAATGTGCAATTTCCCAGTTATTTATTTGTCCATCGTGCAGGCACATCTTGTAGCTGCCACAAAGAATTCCCCTAGAATCCACAAGGAATACTGTCTCCTCAGCAGGTTTTCATTTTAATCCCATATTTAGCATGGATGAAAACTTAAGAAAATGCTGTTTGCTGTAGGAAAACTATTTGTGAAGAAGCTGATTAATCACTGGGAAAGGCTGGTGAAAGGGGTGGGGTGCGGTGATGAGAAAAATGGTTGTTTGAGGACGTAATCAGTTTTAACTGTAGAAAGATTTGCAGTTGTGTTGTGCAGTTCCACATGGCTTCCAACCATAAATCAAAAACTTAAGAGCTCAGATGAAGTTAGATGTGGGTTCACAGCTGCTACCAGAACTGTCCTGAATAACCAGGCAGTCTAAGGACCCATGATATTCCCAATGGATTATTAGCATCAATAAAGCTTTAGAACCAACTACAGTCATACCTTGGAAGTTGAAGCTCCAGCAGCCAATTGGAAGCCACAGAAGTCACCAATGGACGTTCGGGTTCCAAAGAACCTTTGCAAACAGGAACAATCACTTCCTGGTTTGCGGCGTTTGGGACCCAAAATGTTCGACTCGCAAGTTGTTTGAGATCCAAGGTATGACTGTAGTTCCTTTTAGATAGACCTGTTAATTGTGTATTGCCCAGATCAGTGGAAGGGGTAATGAATGAATGAATGAATGAAATCTGCTTTTTGAAATGCACCTTTACATCTTAAATAAGAAGCCATTTGTTAAGCAAAATGGGCAGTACTCAGAAAGAAGCATGGCAGAAAATAAATGATCAAATTATTAGTGTTACCGAAATGATAAACTCGCTGATTCAGGGAGAATCAATCAGGTGTTCAAGAATAAAGGGAGCGGGGGAGTTAACTTTATGCAAACTGAGCACTCACTTCTGTCAAATCTACCAGTACACCCAGCACTAACTTCAAAGGGACTTCAAGAGCTAAACCTGTCCCATCATCCTTGACCAGTGAGATAGGAGTGATTCATTTATAATATTTCTGTAGCCATGTTGTACTGTTACATTTGCACCAATGTTCATCTGGATTAGCTCTTAATCAGAGTTGAAAAGCAAAGCATTTCCCATTACTGTAGCTCTTCTTTTTTGCCTCTGGTTTAGCTATTGAGGAATAGCTAATCTATTGAAGAATAGCATGACCCTTCGCTTTGGAGATTGGATTTGGGTCAGAGTCATTCTGTCACCAGTTCTTTTCATACAGCATTTGAGAGCTAATTAATATAATCAGTTGTGGTGGTTGTTGTCAGATGACAAGCTTTGCTCCTATCACTGGATAGCAAACAGTATTTAACGTGATAAGAAAGTTCAGTCTTCATTATAGCCATTTCACAAACCAAATTAGTAGATTAGTAGATTATATTTACCATTACTGAATGTACAGCATGCAATCATATGAATTGCTGCCCGGTCTACTGGGCCCAGGCGAATGTATGAATTAACTGGTAGGCTCCTTAAGGGAGTAGGGTGCTTTTGAGTAGACTGTTCCCAACCCCGAAGCCCAGAAATGTCTCATCTAACTTTCTTTGTCCCTTTATTTTGGTTCATAGCAACTTGTTATCCGAAATGTAAAAATGGTGGGAAATGTCTCAGGCCTGGAAAATGCAGATGTCAGCCTGGCTATGGAGGACGATACTGTCATAAAGGTAAGTTGAGTTTAGACAGTTTTCAAATTGTAGCAAAGAGTGGGGGAATAGTCTAAAACCATTGCACTTTTAGTCCAAAGCTTTTTGAGGGTACTAGGTTGGTCAGGACTGCAATACAGACATGGTATAATGTGTCTGGAACTCTTATATATTGAGATTAATATTTGATTACTATTTGCATTTCTGGATCTGTTGTGCAGTCGCTTTGAATGTTTCATTTTGAGGCAGAAAGTCAGGATCGCAACGTTTTCCATAAATAACAATAAGCAGGTATAACATTATCGTAAACAAATGAGCATGAAATTTCCACTTATATGCCTCAACTCCATTCTAGAATTGTTGCTTGGAAGAGGCAACATTTATGCAACAAAACACCCTTGCTATAATGCTATAATGGCTTGCTTTGTGCCTGTGCTGTTTCCTTCCAGTAAGCTGTGAGGGAGGGTGTCAAAATGGTGGTGAGTGCATCTCGGTCAACGGGCTGGTAAAGTGTCTTTGTGCTTCAGGCTGGACAGGATCAAGATGCCAAGAAGGTAAAAATCTTCACTTCGTTAGTTATTGCGTTTCAGTCCCACTCTTCTTTCAACTTGGAGTTTTCCCCATTTTATTGTTGAAACAATCGGTATAAATAGATTAGGCCGAGAGAGAGAGAGAGAGAGAGAGAGAGAGAGAGAGAGAGATTTGTTCAGGGTTGCTCAGTAACTTTTATGGCTGAATGGGGATCTGAATTCAGGTCTCCTGTTCCAAGCTGAACTTTTCCCACTATGGTACGCTAGTTATCTAACGCCTGGCAGTGGAGAGGAGAGAAGATGTCAACTGGTGCTTGGATGCAGTTCATTAAAATATATCCAGTGTGTTTCGGGGGCAAATCGCCTTATATGATTCTGCACGGAGGGGTTCCTCCTACTCTTTCCCCCCAAAAAATCACTTTCAGAGCTAACACAGTTTACCCTCTGTTCAAGAGGTAACCGTTTCTGAGAATGACAGCTAAAGCCACTGCTCTCAATCTGTCAGTTTCATGCAAAGGTAGAATGTGGTCACTTTTAATGATGTTAGTGTTCTGTTCTGGTCCGAGGGAAGAAATATCCCCCCCTTAAACCAGGGATGCCTAACCTATGGACTTCTGAATGTTGCAGAACTACAACTCCCATCAGCCTCACCCAGCATGGCAAATGGCCACAGGTGATGAGAGTTGTAGTTTGGCAACATCTGTAAGACCCCTGCTTAAAACATTCTCTAATGCTCTATAGTGGGGGCGGGGAAATCTCATCATCACCCCTTCAGATGTTGGTGGACTACAGTTCCCATCATCCCTGACCACTGGCCATGTTGGCTGGGGCTGATGGAAGTTGGACTCCAGCGACATCTGGAGGACCATAGGTGTCCCCCACCCCCTGCCATCCCCAGCTCTACAGTATAATATTGAGAGACCGAGATAGATGACTTTGCTTTATTGTTCTTTCGTTGCAGCGGTTTGTCCTCAGGGATGTCGGAATGGAGCAACTTGCGTCGCTCCTGGAATCTGCAGCTGTGCAACTGGCTGGGTCGGCGGCGCCTGTCATTTAGGTGAGTTACATATCTTTTAGAGCCTCTTAAATGAAATGCCTAAAAGCTGACATGATCATCGTGACACCCGCAAGAGCAACAAAGTCTTTGCAGAGGCGTATGAGCTGCACCCAGATTCCCACCCTCATTACCTGTCTCATGTGTGTACTATCCCCTCATCTAAATATGAACGGATCGATGCAGATAGGAAATATTGCATGAGTTACTAATTTTGTATTGGGATATAGCTGACCTGAGCAGTTGCTGGCGTGTAGTTGGCAGTTCATTAACTGTACCTGCCTTTGGTCAGTGGCTCTTCCATGGCTGTCCCATGCAAGATTGACTGAAATGAATGAGGCAGCAGCAATGTAAAGACAGATTGCTGGTTTGCATTGTTAGGCAAGTCCTACTGAAATTTATGGAACATGAATAGTAGTAGGAATGATGATGATCATTATAGTAGTTGTTGTAGTAGTAGTAGTAGTAAATAATAATAATAAATTTTGTGCTTCATCTAATGCGGTCTGTTCTATATGAAACCTGCAATCTAGTCTAACTTCAAATTTCATTGGGTAAATAGCCGTTACCACTCAGATGCTGATATTGGTGAAAGTTAGGATAAAATAGACAATACTGATGCTCCAGAAATGAGTTTCACATTACAGCAACCTCTAGGATTTCTTTTTCCAGTTTAGCAGGGCTTTAAAAAGAAGGGAAAGAGTCTTCCTCTTCCCTAAAGGCAGACAAAAATAGTCTGTCCATAGCTGCTGCAGCCTTGAAGTGGAAAGCATGCAATCCTCTTAATGCAGTGGTTTGCAAATGGTGGGTCAAAGCCCTTAAGGCAATGATAGATGTCAAGTGGGCGGGTCACTAAACTGAGTAACAAGTGCCAAGCATGAAGCAATGCAAGTGGATAAGAGAGTATCTTAAAAGCAGCTTCTGGGATCCTTCAGCTAAAGGATATAAGTGACTGTCAAGTATGTCTGTGCCTGGAGCTGCATTTGTCTGGGTCAGTGGCTGCAATCTAGTAGTGCATTCTGAATTAAGGCAATGTGGGATGGATTGGGTACAGAAGCTTCCAGGCAGGACCTTTCTTGAGGCAGAAAGTCAGCTGAATTGAATTGTGCTGCCATCTGTCTTTCCTTGAGACTAACGTGACAGCTACTCTTACAACAAATGACTGAGACTAACTATATAGGAGTGACTGTGAGGACCATAAACCTCTTGTGTTTACTGTACCTCTAATTCTCAAATACACCATTACTTTCTGTTGGGGCATCATTCTCTTTCAGTACTTGCATGATCATGAGCGCTTTTAGAACTATCAGTGGCAACTTCTTTCTTTTCTTGCTTCTAAGATGGGGGAGTGCTGCTTTCGAGAGATGGCCCTTGAACTGAGTTCCCTGTGAAGTAGTGATTAGCTACTTCGCTTTTGAGTCTCTGGATTAATCTTATGGGTTAATCCTCTTGAAATGAATAATCATTGCAATAGCAGTATGTCGAAGTAACAGGTATAGAAATATAGAACAGCACAGAAACATGCCAAACAGTAGGTACTGCTAGAATGGCTCTGCAAAGGAGCATTCTATTCTGGTTGCTTTTATTAGGAACCCACACAAATCACCATGACTGGCTAAATAACTTGTAATTTGCTTCTCTCACCTGCAACGGTGCAGACCTGAAAACTGCTTTAAAGTTCGAGAACACCCATGAGGGTTATTTATTTTTCTATTCGTTTTATGAGTCACTTCTCAACAAGTTGTCTCCAAAGCATCTTGCAATATTGAAAAAGTTTGAAACAATAATGAATGATAAAACCATAATCAACAGTAATGTAAACAACAGGCAGAAGTGAAAATTAATAAGGGAGCAGTCAATAAAAATGCAGATCCAATAGAAGGCAGAAAACAATTTAGCTTTGGTAAAAAGAAAAATGTCGACACAGTGTGTAAATGATGATAATGTTTAGATTTACAGACCTGTCTAGGGAGTTCAGTCACCACTGAAAAGGCCCTCTTTTTTATTGCCAAGGTGCCAATTACTCACAGTGTCCTCCTGGAAGGGAAAGACGCTTGAGCATCAATCAGTTAGCACAACAGATGTCAGGCGTCAGGGAATCCGACCCCCCACGGTAGACTGCCAGGAATAGATAGACAAGGAAGGCTCTTACCAATGTCTTACATTCAGTATTTACAGAGAGAGGCTTAGAAATGCAGCCTCTTGGAGTAATGGCATTGCTCCAAGTAATCTTCACCCCCCCCCTCCTCAATCATCAACAGCACCACCCAGCTTACGGTGGCTGCTTAGAGCCATTTGTCTCTGAGCCCTTTGCTCTCCTACTTTCACTGCTCGCTGGGTTCTGGGAGAAGGGGGGGTCTGGAATGATTTCTAGTGATAACATGTTAGCCAGCTGCTCTGACTCTACCTCCCCCTCCTCTTCTCCTGTTATTCTCAACTTTGCCCCTCATCTACCTCTGAGCTGTGACCTCCCTCAAACCCCTGTTGTAAATCTAAACTGTCTTCCTCTTCTCTGGAAGGCCCTGGCTGCGGAGACGTTCTCCACCATTCCTCCTCTGTCCAGTCCCTGACAACAGATCGCCCTGCTCAGGCCTAAATTTTGTACTTGCATGGAATTGCCATAGTCCTGCCAAGCCATGTTTCCCTTTCAAACCAGTTTGTAAACTCATGGGCAGGCAAGCAAGCAGGATGGGTGGGATTTAAACAAGCCATAGGTTTTGAAATCACAAGACATTTCCCCATTTGAATTATTTTTAAATCACAACAATCGTTTCTCCAAGTATAAGATTTAACAAAATTCCGACACTATAAGGATGAATGGCAGGCATGGATACTGTAGTTCTGCTGTATTTTAATGATATTTTCTTCTTAGGAATAATTGTGATAATTCAATAAAATACTATGCATCAAATGCAGTTAATGAGATGAAATCTGTGCTGTGTAACTGATATGAGTTTTGGACTCCCCCCCAGCATTGTGTAGGTTGCCATGTCAGCATGGAGGCAAATGCATCGCTCCAGATGTGTGCAGATGTCGTTCACCATACTCTGGTATACAGTGTACAAAGAAAATGAAGCAATGAGACAGCCTACTCTGAAGACGAGCTCCTTTTATTTTAATGAATAAACATTGGGAGAAAGGAGAAATTTTGCATTATGCTAGTCGGTCCATCCATAGGATTTTAAAGTCTTGATTATATATTAAATGAATGCTCTCCTATACTGAAGGGCGTTTTTGTTTTTTTTAAAGTATGGCAATATCAAAGCAGTTGAATGTGTATCAAAATATATGCGTGGGGAGAATTTGGAAGCACGTGGATACCTTATGTTTCATTTTAGCACATGTAACATTGAATATTTTTTACTGAATAAAGCATTCCCGCCCCCCGCCAAAACCTCCCCTGCTCTTGCTGTTTCATTCACTTCCACAAATAGAATATGTTTTCCCATGTAATGAATATAATCTTGGTTTTTAAAGCTCTTTGATCTAGCATGAGAAATCGCTGGGCAGAAGCAAAGAATGAAATGTGGATCTTGCTGGGTCATACGGTTTTATAGACATTGCTTTCCTCTAATAGTGAACTCAATGAGTATCAGGATAGCCTCAGTGGGGACACATGAGAAAAAAGAGGGATGTATCAGAATGGTTTTTTGGGGGTGGACTCCAAGGTTTGCAGAAGTACAAATTTTAAAATCTTAAGGGAATCGCACACAAAGTATGTGCGCACACACACACACACAAAATACGAGTCCAGTGAATATAACAGGTGCTTTGGTTTTATAGCTTCCTGGCCCAGCGTGAAAAACTTCTGGGGCAGAAGCAGAGTTCTCTGTGTGGAGTTTGCAAGCATATACTCAGGGCTTGGATGCCTATAGCCAGCAGTTGGGGCTGCGCATGTGGTTCTTGAGGAAGCCTGTGCACACACTCTATGGCACTTATGCAGCCCCCGGCACTAAAGTGTGGTCAATTCACCTGCTCTATTAGCTTGTGGTGCAGATAGGAATAACGCATGGGCACCCTCTGTCTGGAGCCAACCACACACAGTTATTTCTCTGCATAGCTAGTCACAACACAACGTTTTCTTCTATGCAATTATTGCTGGGTTGGGGACAAGAGCTCCAAGGAAAAGTAGCTGCTGTAGATATATTTCCTACTTAGTGATTTCCTCTGTATATTAAAAAAAAACCTAGCAGTCAACAAGAGAGAAAGCATTTCTCCCCTCCTCCCCCCAATCCCTTTTGAGGCAGTAATCGGAATGTGCATGCGTTCAGAAATCTTATTCTGAAGTTGCCACGGTGCTAGACAAACATTAATTTCATGGTTCTTTAATTAAAAGCATGGTTGCTTTGCCAACGGCAGGCAAATGTTGGCCTCTTGCAAGGTCAGTGAATTTCTGTAGTTTTGGATTTTAAAAAATTGCTTGAAAACAGCTCCATCTGCTGGCTGTTAAGGTTGGTTTTTTATTTTCTCCTGCCCAACTTTGTCCATTCCCCTCTGAACCTTCAATGTAATTTTACTATTCAGCATCAGCTCTCTTAAGTCTGGTCTGACACAGCAGCACATAGAATCCATGTCTTAAAGGATCAAATCACAAAGGCTGTGTTAACACAGAGCCTACGTCATAGCATTTACATTTGAAATGGACAGAGTCTGTGCCAAAACTAAATTTAGTTAGTTGCTGTAGTAGCCCCTTACCTTATATATATGTGTGTGTGTGTGTGTGTGTGTGTGTGTGTTTTACTACGGTCAGTGGGGTGGATTTTTTTTTTCTTATTAGGCTGCATTTAAGATTTTGTCTGGGTAGATGACTCATTGCTAGAAACTGCTGGTTGCAGTCTAAATGTGTTTGTGTGTGTTGTAGAGTGAGGTGTAATTATATTGATTTAAAATGGTAGATAAGAACAAAGCCTAATTACATGAATTGGCTTTAGCTGCAAATAGTTGTTTGTGCTCCTTGCTACAAGAGATAGCCTCTTCTGCCTCATTTGCCATAAAAGCTACAAAGCTGTTGGTAAAACAACAACACCACCAACACCACAGGGTTACACCATTGCTGCTGCTGGGCCAAAAGACCTGAAATCAGCATCTCTTGTGGCAACAACAGTCAGTATTTTTGGGCACCTGCTAAAACTCATATCAACATCTTAGGAGGAGAGTGGCTTCTTCTTAGCAAGCAACAGGCCTCTAGCGTTGTTCACTACTCAGCTGTTGAAACAGTATTTAAGTGTAGCATAAGGAGTTTATTTATTTTGAGAAAAATCTTTACTTTTCCAACTTTTAGATTATGGCTCCAGATGAGCACTGTAACCTCTGGTGAGCTGGTTTAAAGTAAAGGGTATGAAAGATATAACGATAAGACTCTTGCCAAATGGCACCCAGTGAAAGAAAATGTGCAGGCAACAGCATGATGAAGCCTACAGGTTTTATGTTAGTGCTACCAATCACTCCTGGTCACTCACAGCATTCTTGCTCAGATTTGAGGGGAGGGGCATTGGTGAAGCACAAGGTGCCCTCTCCCCCATTTCACACACAGAAGCCAACTAGACTGGGCAGATGACTCTTACTTCAGCACCGGCAAGAGGACAGCGTCCTCCTCTTGGCAGTTGGCTAGATTAGGATGCACAAGCTGGGCTGTGTCGATACACCTGCTGCTCTGTCCAGCTTCTGGAAGCACTCTGCCTAAGGGTAGGACCAACTTGGGCTCTACTGAGCGCATCTTGCCCAACCTCCCCCAAATACCGGTAATCTCTCATCAACCCCTTTTGCAGCAGAGGGGGAAAGGATTGCACGATGAATTGCAGAGAAAGAAGTGTTTCTTCTGGAATGTGAGTCCATCCAATGAAACTATGGGTGCTGGAAATTTCAGGACGCATAAAAGAAAGTGAAGAATTCACACAATGCATAGTTAAACTGTAGAATTTGCCCCTGCACGAGGTGGCGGGAGCCATCAATTTGAATGGCTTGAAAAGAAGACGAGACGAATTAGTGGAGAACAAAGCTATCCATAGCTACTAGGCACATTGACTATGGTCTCCCTCCACTGTTGGTAATACAGGCAATGACTGGCACAGCCAAATGGTGCGTTATTGCACATGTGCACAGAGCACTGAACCCAGAAGTAACCCCAAAATGTCATAAAGTTGTCATGGAAAGGAGCGGGGTGGGCTTACACGTGCTCCAGTGATGCACATGAGGGTCCAGAACGTAACCCTCACACAAAACAAGAAGTGCCTGTATGTCTCATAACTACCAGTTGCTGGGAATCACAAGTGTGGAGAGTGCACCAGCAAGCATCTATCTGGTTGGCCGTTGTGAGAACAAGATGATAAGACTATATGGCCTGGTCTAGGAGAGATCTGCTTATGTTCTTATTATGAAGATTGATCTGATTGAGCAGGGCTCTTATGTCTTCTTTGGTTATCATTCGTAGCTGAGTAAGATTGTCTTCCATAAACATGGTTTTAACAATGAGTTCGTAAGTGACTGTGGAGGCCAATTCTGGATCCACACGTCCTTCCACAGTGGGGTTCAGGGAAAAAGGGAGGCAGACTATGTTTAGGGCACCTTTTCTAGCCCCTCCCTCTTTTCAGGGTGAGCAGAGTGGATCCTAAAAAGGGCTGCTCAGTCATGGATACAGCTGCTGAGCTGCTCAACTGCCTCGTTCCTTGAGTCAGAATGACTGAATCTGTATCCACCACCCATGTGCCGGTTCATGATTAGGGGCTTCCAGATTTCACGATCCTGCCCCCGTTACCATTTGCTGGTTGCCATGGGACTTTTGGAGTTTGGGTTTGGGATGGGTTTTTGGAAGATGCCTGTGTGTGAATTTGTTTTATGTGTGTAGATCAGTGCACACAGACCAACACACAGTCTTCACAGTAAGGCTCTGTTCCGATGGCATGAGTAGTCATGGCGACCAGTAGATTCTTATCTGCTGCAGCTTTCATCTGCCTTCACAGCCATTGTAACATACCGTTTGTTATCACCCGCCTGCTCTGCCATTGAGGACATCTTGGATCATTCATTGTCTAGCTCCTTCCCTTTGACCTTACCACTTTGGGTGACTCTGCTGGGAGTACGAGATTCCCGACGGCTTTGCTCACAAGGGTCATAGGAACATGCAAGCCCATTCATCATGACAAGGTGATGATCCAGCACATGAGGGCTCGTATGCACTCGTGCTTTGAATCATTACACCTAATCCTTACACCTTTTGAGTTGCAATCTGAAGGCAGAGGCTCATGTGACTCAATTTTAATAGACGAGGAGAAATTCAAAATTACCGTACTCCACACTTTTGTAGCTTAACTTGGAATTGAAATGGGGCTGGAATCATGTCTTTTGTTTCAGACATCCCTTAGGCTTGCACATTTGTCATGTCTTTATATTCTGATGATAGCAACATAGCCTCCAGCCTTCCACAGTGGAGCTCATAGAGTTGCTCTAGTGAGATTTCCAGGCTAAAGTCACCTCTGTAGGAAGACTATGTCAAGTTACTACAATGAAATGATAAAAGAAAGTTACAGATGCAAGTCATGCAAACCAATTGTGTCTAGAAATGTGTCTGGAAAATCAGACATATTTTTATGAAGTAATGCTTTAAACCATTTGTCAGGGGAGGGGAACATTTCCAGCATTGTAACATGTCAGATAACAAACACCCTTGATCTTAAACTTTTAAAATTGTAATGTACATGGTTTACAATGTTGTAAATGGATTAAAGGGGGAATTTTTTTTAGGTGCTGTAAATCCCTGTTCTTTTAGGTAGTCAGATGGAGGTCTTCACCGCTGGCATATTACTTTCTCTGAGTGAAGATGGGGTCAGGCTCTGACTTCATCAGAATCTTGTGCTCAGTGTGAAGCAGATGATTGGTGCCAACCGCAAATCCCACTTGTGTTACAGATTGACTTACCTCAGAAGTAGTCAACCCCAGCAAGACCAGCAGTTACCACCCAATTTAAAAGGTGCTGAATATAAGCCTCCCTTTCCATTATTATTATTATTATTATTATTCCGCCCTATACCTGGAGGTTCACAGAATAAAATCAGAATATAAAACCACAAAATACATAATCAAAATAAAAACAACAACCCAATAACCCCTTCCGAAAAACCTGACATTTTAAAAGGGCCTAGGATGTCAATCACTCAACCAAAGGCCAAGTTAAAAAGGTGTATAATGAAGGCGCCTAAAGGTGTATAATGAAGGTGCCAGGTAACTTCCCTGGGGAGAACATTCCACAGATGGGGAGCCACTGCAGAAAAGGCCCGTTCTCATGTTGCCACCCTCCGGATTTCTTGAGAAGGAGGCAAACCAAGAAGGGCCTCAGAAGATGATCTCAGGGTCCAGGTAGGTTCATATGGAAAGAGGCGGTCCTTGGGGTATTGTGGTCCTGAGTAGTTTAAGGCTTATAGGTTAAAACCAGCACTTTGAATTGGGCCGCAAAACTAATTAGTAGCCAGTGCAGTTGGACCAGGATCAGTGTAATATGCTCAAACCAGTGAGCAACCTGGCCACTGAAGGCTGCAATAGCTGAAGTTTCCAAACCATCTTCATAGGCAGCCCTATGTATAAAGCATTGCAGTAATCTAACCTTGAGGTTACCAGAGCATAGACAACAGTATTTAAGCTATCCCTGTCCAGATAGGGGCATAGCTGAGCCACCAGCCAAAGCTGATGGAAGGCACTCTGGGCCCAAGCTATGAACCTCTTTCAGAGGAAGTGTAACCCCATTGAGCAGGCAATCTCCCACCCATCTGGTCTAGGGAACCACACACTAACAGTGCCTCAGTCTTATCTGGATTGAGTTTCAGTTTGTTGGCTCTCATCCAGTCCATTACCAAGGTAAGACACTTGGTCCACCGCTTCCACTGCCTCACCGGCAGATGTAAAGGAGAAATAGAGCTGAGTGTCGTCATCATACTGCTGACAATGTACTCCGAACCTCCAGATAACCCCATCCAGTGGTTTCATGTAGATATTAAACAACATGGGGGATAGGATTGAGCCCTCGGAACCCCATGTTGAAGCATTCCCCAAGCAACACCCTCTGGGAATGACCATCCAAGTAGGACTGGAACCACCGCAAAGTGGTGCCACCACCCCTAGTTCAGACAGTTGCTCCAGAAGGATACCATGGTTGATGGTATTGAAAGCCGCTGAGAAGTCGAGAAGTAACAGGGATATGTTTCCCTTGTCTCTCTGTTGACAGAGGTAACCATACAGGGTGACCAAAGCAGTTTCTGTGCCAAACCTGGGCCTAAACCCTAATTGAAATTGATCCAGAAAATCAGTTTCTTCCAAAAGCGCCTGGATCTGGTCTGCAACCACTCACTCCAGAACCTTGCTCAGGAAAGGGAGATTAGCAACTGGCCAGTAGTTAGTTAGATTTTCCGAATCCAGGGAAGGTTTCTTAAGGAGTGGTTTCTGGCTGCCTCCTTCAAACAGGCAGGGACCACCCCCTCTAGTAAAGAGGCATTGACTGTCACCCTGGTCCAGCCAGCTGTTCCTTCCCTGTTGCTTTTTATCAGCCAAGAGGGGCAAGGGTCTAGAGCGCAAGCCCTGACCGACCTGAGCACCTTGTTCACATCCTCGAGCCTTACCAACTGAGCCTTTCCTTGGAACAATCAGGAGTGCAGTCCCAAGTACTCCTTTGCAGCCACACATTTACCTGTTCCATGTGACAGATGTAGGTCAGGTGGTTCTGGCTTGGGCAAAACAGCTTCCCTAGCCACCCTTGCTTAGGCCAAATTTCTGGCTCAAAGTCTTATTGTGCACTCTAAATGCTGCCTTTAAGATGCACACAAGACAAAGTTAGATGGTTTTAATAATAATAATAAATCTCTAAGATGACCAGTAGTCAGTCTTTTTCCCTCCAGGATGGTACCTCCTCCTGTTTGGAAGAAAGGTTGAATGGTGTCTTCACCAGGGAAAGGAGAACCCAGGATGCAGAGTCTTTATGAAGCTGTGTTAAATAAAGCTCCCTTTCTCCTCCATCCCTCATGACAGCAAATTAGAAACTTGTGAAGCTGCCATTGGTCTACCTAGCTCTGTACTGTCATGATAAGGACTGGCAGTGGCTCTTCATGATTTCAGAAAGGAGAGTCTCAGATTTATACCTGGAGATATTAGAACCTTATGTTCCACCACTGAGCTACATCCTATCATGTCAAGTCTGGAGGTTCGACATGACCCATCTTCTGTGCAGACATATAGAGCACAACAGCACTGTAATGTCAATTTCACACCTTCTCCCCACTCTGTCCTAGGCTGAAATAGCTCCAGGAGCCTTTTCAAAAGATAAATGCCAAGGTTGGACCAGCATTATCTCCCAAAGCCTGGAATCACAAAAGCTACAAAAAAAAGTCAATAAAATCTCTGGCAGTACTGCAGAAATTGCAAAGTCAATCCCAGGCACAAAGTTCAGGAACAAGAGGAAAGGTTCAGCCTGCAGTCTCTAATTGAGAGTCTCAATGCCCTGAAGGCTAGAGTCACTGCTTCAGTTAAGGAGCTGCCCAGGAACTGGCCTAAGGGAATTGCTGGGAGGGAACAGAGAGTCTGGCTAATTGGATATGATGAAGGTATGCTCTTGATTTAAAGCTTCAGGGGAAAGCAGCAGCAGCATCCCTTTTGAAGAAGGAAGATACCAAACAGTCCTTACATCATCAGTCATGTCCTTCCCCACCATTTCATCAACAGACAAATTGCATTCTTCAAGGTAACTGCCATTGCTCCCATCAGAGAGGAACATTTCACTGGATGTTAAAGCCATCACAAATATTATGGAACAAACCAGAGCTGGAAATAAATTACATCTATCCTTCTCTCTGTCTTTAAAGTGAAATTCTGTGTTTCCATAATCCCTGGCACAGGTGCTTCTCCTATGCAACCCAAGGCAATTCCCATCACTTGTTTGCCCATGGGACTCTAGCGAGCCCATATTTGAGTTTCATAATCTCTCAATACTATAACAAATCTTACATAGGTTAGAAAGGAGATGCTGAGCATGACATGTCCCCCCCCAAAAAAAATATTCATCAAGAGCTCGACTTAGATTGCTGAATCAGAACTATAGTCTAGCATTCTGTCTCATCCTATGTGTGGCCAACCAGACACCTATGAGAAGCTCACAAGGAAAGCAGGACGTGAGCTCAATTTGGATAGCTCCATTGGTTAAAGTGTGATGCTGATAATGCCAAGGTTGCAGGTTTGATGCCCATAAAGGACAGCTGCCTATTCCTGCATTGCAGGGAGATGGAGTAGATGGTCCCTTCCAACTCTGTGATTCTATGAAGAACATTCAGTAGTCTACTCTCCCACTCATGTTTTCCAGCAGCTGATACATATTGGAGTTAATATCTAGCCAACGTTACTAGCAGCCATTGATAGTCCTATCCTCCATATATGGCAGGTGATATTTCTGTGGTTTTAAGAACATAAGGAGAACCTGCTGGATCAGGCCAATGGCCCAACTAGTCCAGCATCATCACAGTGGCCAACCAGACTCCTATGGGTAGCTTGCAAGCTGGGCCCAAGCAACTGAGCACTCTCCCCTCCCCTCCAGCAACTGGGAATCAGTTTTGTTGCGTTGTTCGCTTTTCTTGCTTGCTGTTTTAATATGTTTCATGAAGCCTGGTGGAAACATAAAATTGTAATGAGTGTGTGTGTGTGTGTTGGGGTGAGAGCTCTGTGCAGGCTTGGCAACTGTTGCCAAGGAGATCAGAATGCTAGGAGCGTGATAGTCGGAGGGCATTTTAAGTAAGTGTGCAGCTGTTGGGAGGGGGGAAATGAAATAATGATAACTGAGGGGAAAGAAATAGCTGTTTGGAGTTTGTGGAGGACATCTTTGGTGGCGACTGAACAGACTCCACAGCATCAAAACAAGACTTGAAAAGCGGAGTGGGGGAGACTGCAGTGCCAGATCATCTCTCTATAATTATGCTGGGAAAAGGCATCCCTTTCTCCACTTATAATAAACACTGATTTGCCAAAGTGTTTGTGTAGGCTTTCAAACTCCCTTCCCAAATGGCAAACTGAGAGTGTGGCTGGTCACAAGTCTTCTGGTGTCAGCAACAGGATCTGGGAATGAGGAATTGGAAGCAGAGACAAACAGGGAAGCTGGAGAAGAGCAAGGCCTGCTCAATCTAGGCATCTCCAGGAAGGGCTGAGATGGACTTCTGTCTGAAACTCTTTGGTGGCACTTAACTGGTGTGGCTCATGGTGCCAACCCATGGTAATTCCTCACTTGTGCCCTCTTTGTTATCTAATCACTCTCATGCCTGTCCTAGATTTCAGTGAAATCCTACTTCCAAATTCAGGTTTATGTCTGCTGCTACAGCTGGACACCCTTTGTATTCCCAAGGTGTTCAGCTTTCAGGGACACGGGCTGAAGGCTGCTCTAAGCTGTTTTTCTTATGCTTCAACCTCACAAATCAAGCTGCAGGAGCCCTGATTCTTCTGGAAGACTTTAGCTCATGGGCAGCTATGATGTTGAAATATCTGCGGGCACTATATCAGCTACCCCTGCTTGATTTAAGTTCTCTTCCTTGCCTCTTGTTCTCTGTCCCAGAACCTCTGCACTGTGTTTGATATTTTCTCCAGGTTTAGTCAGGCTTCCTCAGCCGAAAGGCACCAGTCAGTGTCTTTCTAAATGCTAGATTTCCATTTTAAACTATAACAGGGGAACTCAAAAATGAACCCAAATGCAACTTAAAAGGGAAAGAACTTTAAGAGGGTGGGAAGACAGCGCCTCCTCTCAAGGACGGTGGTAGATGAAGGAATCCCATGACTTGAAAGAGACAGTTGGTGGTAGTCTCCAGTTGGGTATAAGAATCCAGACCCCGGTTTCCCTCAACAACCCAAAAGTAATACAGATGAATACCTTAGCCCATTTGTGACAATGTACTTCAGTGAAAATCCAGTTGTTCATTTTTCTTTGTTCACTCTGACAGGACAGGTCACTCTCATATTTCAACTCCCTCACTTCTTTCTGACTTTCACACTCCCCCAATCTTACTCACATTTCCCCTTCTTTAGTTGGAACATGTACTGTGTGGCACATGAACTTTGCCTGCTTTTTATCTGTCCTTCCACAAATAAGGTGGGTCTCTAGGACTTCTCCACAAAGCGATTCTCCACCTCTAGCCCCTTCTATTTCCACAATGTGGAATGGATAAACATGCAACCTTTAACCATTTTCTCTGCGACCCATCCCCTCTGCAGGGAGGTGGGACCAATTCGGATGGTCCGCCCCCGCCACTTAATGGATCCAAATGGTTTCCAGAGAGTGGTAGGGGATGCTTTATCCCATGTTGATGGCCTTTCAGCTGATTCCCTGGTGGCCCGCTGGAATGTGGAGTTAACCAGGGCTATTGACTGTTTGGCTCCGAAGCGCCCTCTCCGATTGCATGGAGCCCGGACAGCCCCGTGGTTTTCCACGAATCTGAGGGCAATGAAACAATCGTTGAAACGGCTAGAGCGCCGGTGGCGGATAACTCATTCTGAATCTGACCGGACACAGGTTAGAGCTCAACGTGGAGCCTACCAAGTGGCGATAGCGACGGCGAAGAAGAATTTCTTCACCGCCTCTATTGCATCTGCAGAAAACAGCAGCAGGAGACTTTTTCAGGTGGTTCACAATTTAGCGGAACCACCTGCAACATCGGGGCCCAGTACGGGCCACATGTTCTCCTGCAATGATTTTGCAAAGTTTTTTGCAGATAAAATCGCTCAGATTCGGGAAGAAGTAGACTCCACCGTGGGAGCAGGGCCGGGGCGGGAGAGTGCTAGAGTTTTGTCTAGTCAAGTTGAGTGGGATCAATTCCAATCTGTTACCTCCGAGGATGTGGACAGGCTGCTTGGACGAGTGAAACCAACCACCTGTCTCCTGGATCCTTGCCCATCCTGGCTTATAAAAGCTAGCCGGGAAGGACTGGGCGATGGGCTTCGTGGGGTGGTGAATGCTCCCTCCGTGAGGGAGCCTTCCCAGACCCGCTGAAAGAGGCGGTTATTAAACCGCTTCTTAAAAAACCATCTTTAGATGCGGCCACGATGGCCAACTATCGCCCAGTCTCAAATCTTCCATTCTTGGGCAAGGTGATTGAGCGAGCGGTTGCTGAACAACTCCAGGCACGCCTGGAAGAAGCGGACCATTTGGATCCCTTCCAGTCGGGATTCAGGCCTCATCATGGGACTGAAACTGCCTTGGTCGCACTGGTTGATGATCTCCGGCGGGCTAGGGACAAAGGTGAGAGCTGTTTCCTAGTTCTGCTGGATCTCTCAGCGGCGTTTGATACCATCGACCATAACATCCTTCTGGACCGTCTTGAGGGGCTGGGAGCTGGGGGCACTGTCATACAGTGGTTCCGCTCCTTCCTCCTGGGCCATGTTCAGAAAGTGGTGGGGGGGGATGAGTGTTCAGACCCCTGGGCTCTCACTTGTGGGGTGCCTCAGGGTTCTGTCCTCTCCCCCATGCTTTTCAACATTTACATGCAGCCGCTGGGAGAGATCATCAGGAGGTTTGGGCTGGGTGTTCATCAGTATGTGGATGATACCCAGCTCTACCTCTCTTTTAAATCAGAACCAGTGAAGGCGGTGAAGGTCCTGTGTGAGTGTCTGGAGGCGGTTGGAGGATGGATGGCGGCTAACAGATTGAGGTTGAATCCTGACAAGACAGAAGTACTGTTTTTGGGGGACAGGAGGCGGGCAGGTGTGGAGGATTCCCTGGTCCTGAATGGGGTAACTGTGCCCCTGAAGGACCAGGTGCGCAGCCTGGGAGTCATTTTGGACTCACAGCTGTCCATGGAGGCACAGGTCAAATCTGTGTCCAGGGCAGCTGTTTACCAGCTCCATCTGGTACGTAGGCTGAGACCCTATCTGCCTGCGGACTGTCTCGCCAGAGTGGTGCATGCTCTGGTTATCTCCCGCTTGGACTACTGCAATGCACTCTACATGGGGCTACCTTTGAAGGTGACTCGGAAACTACAACTAATCCAGAATGCGTCAGCTAGACTGGTGACTGGGGGCGGCCGCCGAGACCATATAACACCGGTCTTGAAAGACCTACATTGGCTCCCAGTACGTTTCCGAGCACAATTCAAAGTGTTGGTGCTGACCTTTAAAGCCCTAAACGGCCTTGGTCCAGTATATCTGAAGGAGCGTCTCCACCCCCATCGTTCTACCCGGACACTGAGGTCCAGCACCAAGGGCCTTCTGGTGGTTCCCTCATTGCGAGAAGCAAAGCTACAGGGAACCAGACAGAGGGCCTTCTCGGTAGTGGCGCCCGCCCTGTGGAACGCCCTTCCAGCAGATGTCAAAGCGATAAACAACTACCTGACATTCAGAAGACATCTTAAGGCAGCCCTCTTCAGGGAAGTTTTTAACGTGTGATATTTTACTGTATTTTTGGTTTCTATGGAAGCCGCCCAGAGTGGCTGGGGAGGCCCAGCCAGATGGGCGGGGTATAAATAATAAATTATTATTATTATTATTATTATTATTATTTTACTCTCCTACATCAGCACTTCAAGCCTCAAAGCCTTTTTTATTTCTTGTTTGGCCAGTTACTTGTGGATAAGTATTCTAATTATAACAGCAGTGTGATTATTTCCAATTCTCTGAAGCAAGCCCTCCTACTGGCATTCAGGGGTCATTGTTAAGACTTCCTAGTGCAAGTGCCGTAATGGGGTCTACTGCAGTAACAGCTATGATGTGCAGCCAGCTGCAGTAAAGATCTCCATAGCGCTGCTAACTCTCTTAAACTGGCATTTCTGTGACTACAGGTTCTTCTTGGGCATATGCCAACCTGGTGACACCACCAACAAGCAGCACGTTCTGCCAGGGCCCTGAATCAGTTTCCCAAGGATGCCAGCTGCTGCTCATTGAGCAATGGAGTAATAAGAATTAGAAACAACATGCTATTCACTGGATCTGTGTACATGCGATATGTAGCCAAAAGTTCTCTTACGTAGATGAATTGCTATAGGAAACCAAACTGTGATTGGCTAAGGCAGAAATGGTTAACATAACAGGAGCACAGGGATGTTTGAAGCAGTAACCCTGAGAAGTAGATGGAGCCATCCAGCATCCCCCAGCTTACTCAGATGCGGGTGTGAGGTTACAGTGGTTCACGATGTCCTATCCTACTCACAGGTCCACAGAATGCTGAGCATCTTCACTGGGTTGAGCCGGTCCTTTTGTATGTGGGCGTGTTTGATCTTTAATTTTCAACCTCAGCAAAAGTTCATCGCATACAAATATGGAATTCTCCTGGCTCACAGAGTATGGTGCAAATTTATGGTGCCGGCATGTTACATATGAGGGGATGTATAAAACGTTCCAGAGTTTCAAATTCATATTGTCTCCAAATGCTCATTTTTCAGTCAGTTGCAGTAAACAGATGGCTTTAAGCGGCACAATTGAATCCTACACCATACATATTGGCAGTGTCATATTCCACGACTGAACTGGCAGAGGCACCTCACAAATTGCAAGACAGAATCCCAAGCAATATTAGGCACAGGTTTCTTTTCTAAAGCTTGCTCCCTCCAGCTATCATGGATTGGGAATCCGAATTATCTGCCTTACCCAAGTATTTATTACACAAATTTAAACCTGCCATAACCTAGTTCTGAGGCACCATGACAAACGTGTAAGTGATGGTGTATTATGCCTCATTTGGATGTTTTGCATTAATTAATCTCATTGGTTTTCAAAGCCATACTGAGACATATTCTTTGCTGTAACAAACTTGGGGCACTCCAGCCAGAGTAGCAGTGTGATGGATGTTGATTGCCAGTCAGTCAGGAGCATTTGCTGCTATTCTGAGCCAGCTGCAACTTACTCAGCCATTTGTGGTTAAGGTAAAGCCTGGTCCAACCTCACTTGGAAGTATCCAGCAGCCCAGTCCCCCTTGGATCCCACATTTGATGCCACTATCTTTCTGCTGCAAAGAGTCTGTGCACCACAGCCATGGGGAGAAGCAGGCCACTGGGTGCTTCAAGGTGAGCCCTAGACAGGCTTCTGCTTAACATGATTGGCTGGGAAGGTTGCAGCATGCCTGGCAAAGCAGCGTTGTGCCCTACACAGAGGCAGCCTGGTGGGAAGAACTTCAAAGCATTCATACGAAGAACAACTCTGCACTTTGTATGTGGAAGGGGCCAGATTGTGCCACTCATGTAACATTGTCTTGAGTGATCCTCTCCACACCAGAGATGGCTGGCATCCATGCAGCACATTGTGCGACCCAGAGACATTTGTTCTTCATGCGTGACGTCCTTGTACCTTGAAACATAAGCAGCAAAAAGACCGGCAAATTAGGATGCAGCTTAATTTCTCCCTAAACCTTTTCCATCTTTCGAAAGCACTGAGTATTTGTACTATGATTACCTGAATTTTTTTGGCACATGTGACTCCCATGTAGCCAGGACGACAAGCACATACGTTCGGCAATATGCATGTACCTCCGTATAGGCATTTCCGGTTGCACGTGGCTGAAACATACATGTGTGCATGTGTTTTAATCCGGCAATCAAAACAAAACCTGTCTGTCAAGGAGAGAGCCCCTGGTGATTCTGCAATAACTCTTAGGGTGCACAAGCATGTGTTTAGATGCTACAGCTCAGCAAGATAGTGCAAAAAACAAAAACAAAACAAAACCAGAACAACAATAAAAAGCATTGGTCAGAAAGGCATCCCTCATTCAGTTTCCAAATGGCCCATAAATATACAGCAACAAAGCAACGTTTTCAAGAGCGTGTGGCTCTAACGGCCCAGTCATTTGATGAATGTTGCACTCCTATAAGACGATTTAAAAAATGATATCACACTCCTCAAAGGCTGTGAAAAAAATGTATGTATTGACTTCCTATGACACAGTGTTGGAGATGCTAATTTTAGACCTATTTGATGAGACTGTAGGGAAATATAGAAGTACTGGGCTGATTAATATATAAAAGAGATATCAGGGTAAAAAGACTGCTAACAAATACAACTGTGTAACTTTTAGGAAAGTTTGATGGTGCAATCCTGTAAAATGGCAGGTAATATGTGGATTGCAGCCTGTTTGCTAGTGGAAGCAACAGCAAAAGGGTGTAGTGTGGATTTTATTTTTGCCAATAATGAAGACTAGGAAAGGAATAGGAATTTAATGTGTAAGGGTGCAATTTTAACTCCAGCTGGCTGAGGTGCCTCAGGAAGAGCAGGAACCACTGTTCACCTAGGGAAGATGAAGGTACTGTGCACATGTGGAAGATCCAGAAGTAGCTAGCCCTCCAAAAAACACTTTTGACAGGTGGAAGGGCTCTCCATCTGTCAGTCACCCTATGTTGTGTATGTCATTGGCAGGTGACTGAAAAGTCATGCCTCAGCTGCAAAGAAGAAGCCACAGTTTGAATTCAAAACGACAATACTGAAGTAGATTGTCTGGCTGGGTATAGGGCAGTTTCCTACATTCCATGGAACTGACATTTCTGACCATCAGACATAAAAGCCCTATTGTTTTTAAACATGACTGATTACCCTGGGATGAATGGAAGGTGAGGCAAGAGTACCTGATCTTGCAGGGAATGCTCTCTTTCAAGTTACTTTAATAAAGACCAGTTCATATGGTGCAGCTCTGGATGAACAAGCTATTAAAAGCCCTATAAAAACACCTGTGGTCCGATCCCCCTCCACTGTAATCCAAACATTACATCTGACTCACGTGTTTGACACTGAACTCCTTCCCATCCTGGAGGGCAATGGCAAGTACTTGGTCCAATACATTCACCCCCGTTCCTGCACTTCTGAAGGCATATAGCTGTACAAGAAAGGCATGCGTAGAAAGAGAAGTGTGAATACCCTCAATGGCTCAATATCTGCGCAAACAATGAACAAATGGTACTGGGAACTGTAAGATATACCTTTGCTTAATCTGCCTGCCATGTTGATGTGTTCCCACCCTTGATAGTTTTCTGCGAGCTTAGGCAAATTCTAACAACTGTCTGCTACTCTTGGCAATGGCATTCACCGGCTTTTTATATATGAAATTAATGCAACCTAATGTTGACCTCATTTGCATTAGTTTAATCAAGCTACAGCCTCATGTCTTCTGGAGGAGAAATGGGAATTTGTCTTCCAGAACTGTGGTAATGCTTCAAAAAGACTGAGGGAGACATGCTGTGCCAGTGAGATACTAAGTTGAGCATTCAAAGCCTGTTTGCTTAAGAACGGAGATAAACAAGGAAATCTGAGCATGCCATTCTGGAGCAGAAGCTAAGACCTGCTTCCATCATTTAGACAGGAAAACCCTCAGGGTCACATTAAGCAGCAGTGGAAAGATGCCCTCCAGTTACAAGCAAATCTAAATTAAATGCTACTTATTGCTGTAGCTTGGATGGAGAGCCTTTTTTATACGCCCAATTTAACAGGCTTCTCCTTTTCCAAGCGGCTGAGAGTAATACCTACGAGTGTTACATCTTTTGCCTCTCCAGCCCGATGGGCAGGAACAAACGTTTGGGCCCACGCATCTTCCTCTGTTCATGCATACCGGGTCACAGACACCTGAAACCAAAGAGCAATGAGAAAATGCACGATTGAGCTGCTGGCATCGCCCTGAGTCGGCATGCTGAGATGCGAGAGCAGTTTTTTTTATGAAGCAGTCTTACTTTTTTCACACCGTCGGCCACTGTAGCCGCCAGGACAGGCGCAAACATTGTTTCTCATGCAGTGGCCGCCATTCTTACAGGCAGGGTTGCAGATGGCTAAAGACAAGAGAGAGAGAGAGAAGTGAGGCAGTGGTTCGAGTGTTGCATAGCAGAGTGGCCTATTATTTTCATTTTCTTTTCTACAGGGAAAAGGCACCTTAGGAAGGGGTGCGGGATGCGGCCCTCAACTCTTCTGTATTTGGCCCTCCAGATTCTTCGCAGGCCACATCCCCTCATTGGCTCCCCTTCACATCCTGTTTTTGCCAGACTGGAATGTGTCCTTGAACTCTGATCATGCCTCTGGTTTCACGGGATGGAGGGCACAGAGGGGTGTGTGAGCACAAGCACACTAGTGGCCAAAATTGTGGAAACCTTTTGGGGAAAAGTGTATTTCTGAGGTTTGATGCTTCATAACACCTGATTGACTCTAAACACTTGTGCTCATTGGCTACATTCAAACGAAGGAAAGCGATTGCATATCAACCTAAGCAAGTTGTGCTTCCATTTTCTGGTCATTTGGCTATAATTTTGGATAGAATACAGATAATTGGACAAACTTCATTGCATTACATTCTTCATTAACTTATCTTTCCATTGATATATAATTTTATGGTATTACTCAAAAAAAGTGTTATGAGCCATCAAACCTCAGAAATATGCTTTTTCCAAAAGGTTTCCACAATTTTTGCCACTAGTGTAAGCTACTTATGTGACCCTCAGAAGGGAATGCCGCCCATGGGGTTTTAAAGGTTCCCCACCCCCGATCTAGTTAGATCTGAAATTCTCGTCATTGAGGGTTGAGAATGGGAGCTGATCGGTTCTCTCCAGCTTCTTAATTAGAACAGCTACTGCTGCTCTGAAGCCTGCGACTACTGACTGTCCACACTTAGGCCTATTCATTCCCCATCAGCACAATCCGATGAAGATCAAAGGTGGGGCAGTGTCCCCTTTTGTGGATCATGTATAAACCGGGTCGTATATGATGAATGGTGCTGGAGTTGAGACCTGCCCCCAGCTGCCCTGCCACAATACGGTTAAAATGGGAAAGGCTGAAACCTGATGGCACTGAAACCCTCCATATGGATCCAGCAGTGCTTCTGCAACAAATTGCTCTCCTTCAGCTCCTACAAATTCTGACCAAGTGCTTGGGTTTGCCCAGTGCTCGGACCACGATAAGCTACATTACCCCCACCAGGGGTGTTTTTAGAGCACTGGTCCATGACACAAATTTGCATGTGCTAATTACATGTTTTGCCAGCACTGGATTGTGCAGAGGGCCCATAACCGAAATGGGTGGAGGCACAGAAGTTGTGGGGTCCACCGCAAAGACGAAGGGGTCACCACTCCATCCCAATGCCCTTTGTGCCTGCTATATGATCCATTTGGAGCCATTCTATCAATGTTTCTTCCCTGAAAAGTAGAAGTGTGTGGGGGGGAACCATTAATTATTGCACGTTTCTTTTAAAATAGCACAACAAAATTACCATTCTGGCAATAGGCACCGAAGAATCCATTGGGGCAAAGGCAAATGTTTGGTTTAATACAGGATCCGCCATTGAGACACACTGGGTCACACACAGCTAGAGAAGACAAGGAGAGGAGAGAATTTCATTTTAAAGGTTAAGTGGAAACACATTTAAGCATGTGTGCCATGTAGCGATTTCATTTCACTGCACGCAAATACTTCGTTAAGTCACTTAACTAAGTTGTAATGGGAGAAAGAACTGAAGTGTAATTTGCTTTGAACTGTTCTTTGGAAGGAGGGCTGCTATTTCTACCAGGCCAAAAGAAAAAAGAATAACCTATGCTCATTTGCATAGGTGGCTTATATAAATGTATGCTCAGTTAGAAATGCCTTTTCACAACTTGCACGGAAACTGTAATTAACAAAACACCCTCCTCTTCTGGGAGAACAAAACACAAAGGAGTGGGGGAGAGAACAAACAAACAAACAAACAAACAAACAAGAAAAACCCTAGTTGGGTGGCTTAAAAGAGGCCTCCTATCCAGTGTTTAAAAAATCAGTGAGAACTACAAGAAATTGCATGAAATATTATTAAAGCTGATCTTGCACACATAAGAGGGTATTTGATTTTCAAAGCTATAGCAACCCCTGACTTCCCCCACAAGCCTCTCTAGAAGGTTGGAACCCACCTCCCTAAACCCCAGTTTAAACTAGGAAGCCAGAGGCTGCTGAGGGGAGGAGCAGGCAAGAGCTCATGTGGCTTCAGTGGAGAGATCCAAGCAGCAAATTCTCCTTCCATAACTTCCTTAAGTAGGATTGAAGCCTTGACTGTTATTCTGCAGAGGAAGACTGAGCAGAGCTCCACCATGTGGTTCTTACAGAAGCTTTCCAGACAGAAGTTCTTGTGGGAGCCGCTCCCTCTCCATCTCTACCTTAACACTGGTGCGAATAAATCTCTTACCACAACCAGCTTAACGCTGGTCCTTCAAAGCCTGCCGCTTTTCATATCACCAATCGTAATTTCAGCATTTTTGAGCTGATCTTGTCTCTCTTGGTGGCAACGTGTGTGTATGGTTTTACTGAAAATAAATGGCCTTTGGGGATATACTTTTTTACCTGTGCTGCATGTGGGTCCATTCCAGCCAACCCTGCACTGGCAGACATCTGGGGCGAGACATTCACCGCCATTTTCACAGTGCCTGTTGCAAACCACTAAACCAAGCAACCAGTGTTTAAGAAACAAAATAAACAGAAGTTAGTAGAGAAAAAAAGGGTTGCTGTCATATCTTTATTGCATATCTATATACACCCAAATAATTTCCCAGGTTTTGTCTGCAATTGTCTTTCTGCTATGATATTTATTTAATAAGATTTACACACCAATCGATTGTAAAAACAAACAAACCTCAAAGTGGTTTACAAAGAGAAAAAACCGAGAACTACACCTCAAGATATTTAGCTGAATCGGGACTTAACCATGCTTAGAACAGGCCTGTTGATATCAAAGAGGTTGCTGTTAGTATGTATTATTCCATCCAAACAGCTAAATAGAAGTCATAGGTGTATTTTTCTGTTTTTTATCATTGCAAAGTATATTGTTGTAACATACTCTGGGACTAAATGGTGAAGAATGGTTATGGAATCAAATAAACAAATGACCTCCAATTAATTTATTCACTGGCTTAGTTTTGAGGGTTTTGGCTGGTGATTTTGGCATTGTTTTCATTTTTTTGTTTTGTTTTATGCTGTATTTTGTGTGATATGGTTTAATTTGGGGGGTTGTTTGTATTATATTATTGATTAGTTGCCTTGAGTTTCTTTGGAAAAATCAGGAAGGTCGATTTAAAAAAAGCAAACTAATAATTTACTTCTGACAAATTCACCAAGAGGTTATTTTGGGGCACAGAACATCAGAAAGGTATAGCACCTCTTATCTATGTGCATCTTGCTACACCAGGATGCTTTGTTTATATGTTTGTCACATATTCCATTACTTACTTGTTTCACAATGTGGACCCACAAACCCATATGGGCAAGTGCAAAGGTTTCTGGTCAGACAGGTCCCTCCATGTTGGCAAGGTGGCTCACAATGTGCTGGAGGTGGAAAGGGAGACTGGTCAAGATATCAGTTCCAGAAATCAATTAACATTAGAAACTTTTAAACAAAAGGTGTAAAAATAGAAAGAAAAGATTTCTACAACGCTATTTTTGCATTGGTTACTCGCAAAACTATCATGTTGGGTCCATGTCCCCACCTAGTGGTCAAAAGGCAGGACAACAACTTGTGAAGAAGGAGACTCGCAGAATGCATCTCAGTTCATCCTGCCTTTGAACAAAACCATTTCAGGTTTGCTTGCGAACCATTTGAAATTGCCATCATCTTGTTAAAGAAACAACTGAAGCTGCTTCTTGGAATATTGAGAATATCCTGGTTTTAGCAGGGATCCAACTTAAGTATGCGTATAAATAGGCATCACTCTGACGATATCAACAGAGACAACACTGGTAAATGTCAGTGCTGAACTCAATCTATGTTTGTTTTTGACAGTGGTCTAAGTAGCTTAATGACAGGAAATGTGCTCCATGGCAGATTTAAGACCCCAAGGGCTATTTCATTTATTTCATTATCATCCTGTGCTTCACAGGCAAGCAATCCCAGGGTGAGTTATATAATCCAAGCAGACCGTATACAGTAAAGCAACACAATATTGAAATGTTGTTGTTTTTTACAATCTTCCATAACTTACTCCATCTCCTCCTTCTCACCATTAAAACAACTGGCCTACTATATTACTCCTCCTCCTCACCAAGAACCTGGAAGGAGAGCGGGGCCTTTAGCAGGGCTTTTTTCAGCCAGAACACACCTGAACTCAGTTCTGGCCCCTCTCAGGTGGGCTAAGAGAACAAGGGAGGTGTTCATGGTGAGTTCCGGCACCTCTCTTTCCAGAAAAATAGCACTGGCCTTTAGATTATGTATTCTAAAGGAAACATTAATTTGGCCGTGAGGGATATGTTTCACTGAGTACCGTGTATTTAGATAATATGTCAAAATGTCAGCCATCAATAAAATGACCACCATTGACATCCATCTTTATACATATGAACAGGCATGGGAACTATGATTCCAAAAATATAGGGTCTTTAAGGACAAGTATATGTGTGTATGGATATTGTGTGTATGGATATTGTTAAGATGGAGAGTTGGGAGGTATATTCTGGGCGGTGTGGGGAGAAATTCGATTTTGTTTGCCTTTTACTGAGAAACTTCCTAATCTGCACTTTTCAATTCAATGTGCGAACCACAATTTGCGTGTCTCCAAATTTTGTGACGCAGTTCTCCAGTCAACTAATGGGTGCAGAAACAAGTGTATTAGGGGAAGTGTGCACACATGATTGAAAATAACATAATTAATGCATTACGTTTAGGAAATTTCCTTCCAAAAGGCATACATTAAAAACTGCATAGGGGGGAGAATGTATGTATTAGGTGAAATCTGCCCTAAAATGCTGGTAAACTTTCATGAGGATTCTTTTTAAAATACAAATTGCTGCTGAAAAGTGAATTGCATTTAAAAGTGGAAAAAATGGCGACTTCCGGGTTGACGCCTCCAACAATGGCTGAATTCCTCTGACCGGGAGGAATTTGCTTCATGGAAATCAGGGTCTGGCCGCCACGGCGAAGGCGGGGACCCACTAAAAATCACAGGCGGGAGAAGCCTGTGAACGTGGGATTCGGCTGGCACCTTTTGCGCCTCCCCTACTCGTGGGGAAACCCGGTTTCGGGGATCCGGAGCGAAGTGGGGTGAGTGGCGCGGTGCTTTGAATCGACTGCTTCTTTCACGGAGTGAAGCCGCATTGCTGTTGCTGGAGAGCGCTGACTTTTTCCTGTGGACAATTTGATCTTAAAACAACTACCCGTGAGTAGAACTGAAAATTGGATTTTTAAACGTCTTAATTTGGCACCGAAACGGGGAGGTTTCAAACAAGAAGTCCGCCTCCCCCTTTTGTAAATAGATTGAAGCAAAGAGGCTGCAAGCTAAAGCCTTGGAAAGTCTCTCATAAAGGATTAAACTTCCGTCGGTTAAATCATCAAACCGCCCTTGGAAGCAGGAGAAGAGGGGGGAAATTTAAGATCGCGTAAGCCTGCAGGAGAGAGTGAAGAAAGTCAAATTACCACCGCTCTGAACCTGGAAACGGGCTGCTAGTAAGCATCGAAGTTTTGGATATGCTCATTGACTGTGAATAGATCGTCTGTTGACAGTAAGTTAAAGAAGAGAAATACATTGTTTCCATTGTCTCCTTCTGCGTTTAAAAAGGAGTAAAAGTAACTGAGAATTGAAACTAACTTTATTGTTTGAACTGTGCTTAAAAGCATTGATACAAATAGAAATTGTTTCCCCCTAGAGGAAGCTTTTGAAATTGTTACAAGAGCTGAGCTGGGGGAATTTTCCACCTGCATGATAAAACTGTGAGAATCTGGGATTGACCTTGAATCGTTAAGAATGTTGACAGAAGAAGCCTTAGTGGTTGCATTTTGTAAGATTAACGATTCACTGGAACAGCTTTATAGGAAGACAGATGCGAGGACTATAAAAATTGAGAACTTGGAACAAAAAGTGACTAATTTGGCACAAAAAGTCAATATTAATACAGAAATTATTCAGGAATCGATACAGGGATCTATTTTGACATGTCAAATTGAGGAGAAGGCGGGGGAGAAAGCTTTTGCTGTGGAACCTAAAGTAGCACAAGTGGAGAGGAAGAGTGCCCCAGCCGTACAGTTGCAACTCGATGATTATAAGTTGATGCCTTCCAAGACTGAATTTAGAGAAAGCCAGTCTTTTAGGATTGGAGCCCCGCCTGGACTAGAGAAAGAAAGTTGGATAGATCCCCTAATGCAGGGGTTTATTGACCTTTGCGACCTGGACTTGGGTCAGGAGGAGACTGGAGTTGTGGGGACTGCCAGACTTGGAGGAACTTTGAAACACAGCTGGAAATATCTTTTGAATTTCAGTTCTAACTATGGAGATTTAGTTGACTTGTCGAGAAGGAATAAAAACATTGTTAGATGGGAATTTCCCGGAGATCTACTTTTCAGTATCAAAGGAAGGAAAATAAGAACAAGATCAGGAGAAGACAAAGTAAAGTGCATGTATAAACATGAAGAAGACTTGCAGAAGGGACCTGGAAAAGAGTTAAGAGCCTCGGACAGAAGATCACCAGGTTGATGGGCTATAAGGAATTGACGGAAATGACTGGCAGAACCCGAGACCAGGGAGAAGAGACGGTGGAAGAATATTGGAAAAAGTTTTAAATCTATATATGGAAATAATATAAAATTAATGAGTGTTAGAAAAATGTTGGAAGGGAATTATACGGCTTTAGTAAAAATATTTTAAGGAATTAAGTATAAATAAGTATTATAGTATTAATGGAATATAAGGTTAAAATATGTTAAGATAATTACATGACAGAAAATAGAGAAAGATGGAAAGGATTTGCTGAAACAATTAATAGAAATGGAATACAAAAAGGGAGGTGAGAGGAGGTCGATGAAACAAGGGAATGAAAGAGAGGATATTGAGATGGTATGTGTGTTTTTTGAATTGTTTTTGCTTTTGTTTTGTTTAATGTGTTAATGTTAATGTTGTGCTCTGTATTGTTTATAGATTGTATTGTACTGTTTTCTTTTTTGCTTTTCTTCTTCTTTTCTTTTTTCTTTCTTTTCTTCTTTTTGTAAGGTTTAAAAGCAATAAATATTATTTTTTTAAAAAGTGGAAAAAATGAGAAACATAGAAAAAACAATTGAGAGATTCATCAATATCCCTACTATACCTTCCCTACACATTTATCACACCAAAAATATAACACAAAGCTGTGATACAGGGTAGAATTAAGGAAGATGGAATAGGACACAAACAGAACTGAGAAGAGCTTGGGGGTGACTCATGCATGCATTCCAGCCATTCTAAGGCCAGATACAACAGAACAAATCTTTGCACCAGATACATGGCAGCAAACTGTTGGAACTGAACAAGAGTTGCCTGCCTCATGCAGGGTGCCATTATTGCTATTCTCAGCACAGCTGCAGTTCTTTGGAATACCTTTAAGACCAAGAGTGGTGCACTAGAGTTTCTGCTGTTGTGGGAACATTGTGATAAACACGAAATACAACTTTTTCATTTGTTTCAGCTGTTTTCTGGTAGGAGTGAAATAGCTGACACTGCAATTTCTGAGAATCAATTTTGACACCGACATTCAGCATGCATTTTGGGTCATCCTTTAATTTTAAAAGGACAGCCCAGTGTTACCTTCATCACAGATGGGGCCACTGAATCCGGGGGGGGCATTCACATACATTAGGCTGGGTGCATTTCCCATTGTTTTTGCACTCTGGTCGACACAGAGCTGTATAAAACCAACATTAAATTCTTAGATGTACCATTTAATATTATTAAATGCAGAGGGTGCATAAAACAGGCATCACTCACCAGCTTGACAGCTACGGCCGGAGTAACCAGGCTTACACCTGCAAGTATTGGGTGCCACACATTCCATGTTTTCACCACAGTTATGCCTGCATATCGCTGTGAGAGAGAAAAAACGGGGGAAATAAGATCAGTAACTCATCTGGTTTGTGGTATTCACTTTCAATACCTAGCATGCAAAATTAGCTAACAGCATTGACCTTGAAAACACTATACTTTCCATCAGTTTGTGCAAATATGAAGTTCAAGTTCTTCTGCAACCCCATCACATGTGGCCACCGGCAGATTTGGTGAAACGCAATGATCAGTGAACAGAATGTGCATTTGGGGAGCCATTTGTGCCATTTCTGTGACCTTGTTGATAGCGCTCCTGCTCCCCTCTCCTTCCCCACCATGACTGCTCTTTAGACACAACTCAGCCATGCAAAGTTTCACATAGAACAGCAACTACCCTAAATGTTTGTATACCCCATGCAGCTTGGAAACAGCAAGCTGTCCAGCTCTCTGGTCTGGTTCACACATAACAATAAGCCTTAGCTTGTTTAAGCAAAATCATGAGGTGACCATAAGTTGTTTCACAGATAATCAAACAAAACATGGTTTGTTCCTCCAAAGTTTGTTTCCAGCTGCTCATGCCTCATGTGTTTGTAGTTTGGTGAACCTCTGGAGTGGAGTGCTCAAGCCGTGGTAAAGGGTGCTGAGTTCACATATAATCAAAGGTTCCTAAGCCAACAACATAAACATGACTTTACATCATGTTTGTTAACAGTAAACCAATGCTGGGCTGGGTTTACACACAAACCTACCGGTAAGCAATGGATAATAAACCATACTAAACCATACTTTAATAAACCACAGTTTAGCGTTATGTGCATATCAGGCCTCTACCGCCATTGTAAAAGTTCGGCAAGAACATCTGCTGGAAATAGGATTATGTTGCAACAAAATAGCAAAACATATGTTGCCGCAGTACCTCTACAAATAATACCATCTCCGTAATAACCGAAAGGACAACGACCGCATCTGAAGCTTCCATCTTCACTTGGCTCACAAGGAACCCCGGGGAAACAGGGTGACTCTGCACAAGTGAGTAACAGGGAAACAGTTGACGCAGAGCCTGATTTTCGATCTGTGCCAGGCCTTTGGAGTGTCACAGCAAACCTTTCAAAGGTGGGTTGCAAAGTGCTGTCTTTAGGTTTACCGAATGGCCTTTGGAATTTGTGGCCACTTCCTCCTCCCAGTTCTTTGTTGGTTATTAGTGACACGTTAGCTTTGCTACTCAATGTTATGCTGGCTTCTAGGGGAGAATAGATCTGCTCTCGTGCCACCGTCGTCTTCTCAGGAAATACTGTCTTATTCCTAAGTGGCGTGTCAGATGCAGAGCCTACTGCATCTGCTGCTGACTCTTCCTTTGTGGTGCCAGAATGGATGTTTACAGTACTGGCACCTAATGCATAATCAGGGGATGCACTACTAACAGGCTTTCTCAAAGCTGGGCTCTGGGAAATGAATACATGTGAAGACACAGTTGTTTTGGCTGCAGAAACGGATGGACTGCTGTTGGCTACTTCTGTGGGAATGAAACTTCTGGGAACATCTGTGGGATTAAGAGGGAAGTCTGTGGTATTTGGAACCTCAGCAGTTGACAGTTGCAGGAAACCTGCCAAACAAACAGGAGACAGACACAAGAGCATTATTACAAGATTTACATTTCAAAGAGAATAGTTTTAAAAAAGTAAAAAAAGAAAGTAGACTTCTACATATATCTGGATTTTTCCAGTCGTGCTTGCTGCGGTGTACTTAGCATTAGAAGTCTACTAGAAAAACACACAGAACGTTAAACCCAAACAAGAGCTCCCAGAATTGTCGGCGGGGAGCATAAGACGTAACGGAGAGTTGGCAGGGAGTGTAAAACATAAACCTGAATTTAATACTCCTTAGCATCTACCTATCAGTAGCCTGCACAAGAAGTGAGCCGCAACACAAACCCTTTCCATATTCTTTCCTGTTTTTCAGTCCATCTTCCTTTGGATAATACATTCTCCAGAACCTACAGCCTAAGCAAGATGGATAGAAAAACAGAAAAGAGTGAGGCCAAGAGCTTATGCAAAGTAAGAGTAATGAGAATGAGGCATAAAGGAAGACTAGGGCCTGCAAAAAGTGTTTCAGTGAGGAATGCACCTGCTCAGGATTACAGCCAGCCATGCCTATTATTATTATTATTATTATTATTATTATTATTATTATTACCCCGCCCATCTGGCTGGGTTTCCCCAGCCACTCTGGGTGGCTTCAACGAAAGGTTAAAAATACATCAAAACATCAGTCATTAAAAACTTCCCTAAACAGGACTGTCTTCGGATGTCTTCTAAATGTCAGATAGTTTTTTATTTCTTTGACATCTGATGGGAGGGCATTCCACAGGGCTGGCACCACTACCGAAAAGGCCCTCTGCCTGGTTCCCTGTAACTTGGCTTCTCGCAGTGAGGAACTGCCAGAAGGCCCTTGGAGCTGGACCTCAGTGTCTGGGTTGAACAATGGGGGTGGAGACACTCCTTCAGGCAAATGTCATTCCGTTTTCAGAAATGGAATATCCCCAGGAATACAATGCCGTTCATTCTGATGTGCAGAAATCAGAAGGAATTCTAATAATGTTTGCCTCCCACCCAGTTCTTCTATCTTAAAAATATATATGAATAACATAAACCTGAGCTCTTTACTTGCCAGAGACATTTTCATCAGTATGGGCACCAGCAATGCTATATCCGTGATTATTGCCCGCACCGATTTTTTCACTGGGGTCTATTTTGTTATATCCATCTTCTGGAGTCAAACGACCAGAGGGAACCTTACTTGTTGGTTTTATTCCAGCTGTGACATAAACAAAAGAATGACCAAATCAAAGGGATAGCAAACCAAAAATAGCTTATTTAAAGGACAGCCAAAGGGTTACATAAAAAATTGTTAGGCTTTTTGAAAAATGTTCAATGTTCCAGGTTACAGCCGCTGCCAGTCTCACTATTCCAACTGTGGCCAGAAAGATTCTATGCACATCTTCTGCAAGCACACAGAGTAATGGACTGTACAAACAAACATTTAATTGGAAGTTGCTTATATGGGAAAACACATACAGACACAATTATTTTACCGCGCTGTGCTGATCCTCTCTTGGAAAGTCTTAGTTTCTTACCCAGTAAATGCTGCTATTGTTTTTGTTGTTTGATTCCAACCCCCATCAGCCCCACTTAGCTCAGACAATTGTCAGGGATGATGGGAGTTATTCCCCCAAAAATCTGGAAGGCAACTGGTTTGGGAAGGCTGACTTAAGTCAATCGTTCAACCTGTCTACCAAAACTTTTCTCATTCAAAACCATGTCTCCTATCCCATATAGACAGAATCAGCTATCAAGCATGAAAGTCCTATGAATTTCTATTATATGGGCAGTATTATTAGACAGGTTTCTGCCTTAGGCACATCCGATATTTTAAGCATGGCTTAGTGCAATGAACAAAACACTTGGAAATAAAATGAAATATGATTTTTTTGGTGACCAAAAAAGGATAGCTTTTTACCATAACATCTTTTCCCATCTCCGTACAGGCCAGTGGGGCATGGACCACAATAATAGGAATCCATAGTATTGAAGCAAGCTACTCCAGGGAAGCATGGTCTGGATTTGCATTCATCAGGGTCTTTTTGGCAATGTCTACCTAAACAGAAAGAAATACATTCGGGCATGCATCAAAGGCCCTTTTCGGGAACTAGTAGCTCACAAAAAAAAAAAAAAAGCCACAAAGATTTTCAAAACAGAAAGCAAGCGTTGGTTCATTGCCTAACTCTTGGGAGACAGCAAGCCCTCGATTTTCCAGAAACAAACAAACAAACAAACAAAAATCTGGGATTTTTATGATGTATTTGTTCTATACACATTTAAGGGAACATGGCCACTTTTGCAGAAAAAACCTCCAGCCTCAGGAAAAGTTATTTGGGATTGATTTCAAACAGCTGTGATGGAGATTCTGAGTTTTGATCATATAGATTCATCTGGACACATATCTCCCCTATTTATTCTTAATGTTTGGTTGTTTCAGATAAGATTTAAGACAAAATGATTTCATGTATATATTTATGTGGAATTTAAAAATGAATTTTATGTAAAAAAAGTTGTTTGTTCTCCTTCTATGCAGTCTGCGGACTAATTCAATAGTACCCTATCCTGTTCCTATACAACCCTACATCCAAGCCTCATTAAACTCAATTGCATGTACTTCTGAGTAGGCATGTATAGGATTGCACTGTGCTTTCTAACTCCTTATTCTAGCTTCCACTGTAATCCGCAAACCACACAAGCTTTTTGAAAGCCAAGCTTTTACCCCTCTTCCTCATTGGCTTTAACTGGCCTGGAGAGGCGTACGCGAAGATCTAACTCAGTGATGCTTGAAAAATATTTGTTCTGCTTAAATAAACCTCACAGTAAACTGGAGCCTGAAATCATGCATGTAATTGAATTATTGTTATGTAAATGTAGAATAAGTGACAATTCACCCTGCAGCCCAGGTGTACATTCACAGCGGAAGCTATTTATTCCATCAAAACATCTGCCAAGGCCACAGGGGTTGGATGCACAGTCATTGGTATTCACTTGACAAAGGTCACCTTCAAATCCTGGCATGCAGATGCACAGATATTTCCACTTCCAGGAGGGAAATTGGTATCAGTCACACAGGACCCTCCATTTAAGCAGTCACATGGTTTCACGCTGACCTACAAAACATGGCCAATAAACAGCAGGCTATAATTACTCTTGAATGGGATATTCCATTTGCAATGGAGCTCTTGTCATGGCTGCATGATAGCAATTAGCGTTGGCTATTTGACCACAATAGTTATTACCTCGATTGCAACTTTGGTTTCGGCACTGCAGTCGTCCGTTATGAAAAAGGTAAACAGCTCAGGCTTCTTCGACAGTGCCTTCCATATCAGGAGTCCAGCGGGAGAAAGACTGGCACCTGGCGGGCCAGAATTCAATAAGAAAGCGACGGCAGAGCCTTCTGCGTCCGTCGCTGAGAACTGATACACAAAATCCTCCCCATAAAAGGTCTGCAGCCTTTCTTGCATATTTTGAAATACAGGAGGCTGGTTGTCTGAAAGGAAATAAATGGAACAGCCACAAAGTGAGAAATATGAAAAACGGATGACATCAGGAAATTTTTATCTATTCCCCACCTACTTACATAGCCACTGTTAGGGGCCTATACCAAATGTGCACCTGACCGCAGTGCTTTACTTGATCCCATATCATAGAGCTGTTGTTGGAAGAGAGCATAAGGATCACCTAGTGCAACCCTCTGCAATGCAGGAATCTTTTACCCAATGTGGGGCTCAAACCCACAGCCCTGAGATTAAGAGTCTCATTCTCTACCGATGGAGATATCCTCTTGTGCTTTTTCATCAAGCATTGCAGTAAGTCAGCCTTCCCCAACCCGGTGCCTTACAGATATTGTCAGATACCAAGTCCCATCACCCCTGACCATTGGCCATGCTGGCTGGGCGTGATGGGATTTGGGGGTCCAACTGCACCTGGGGTTGTCAGGTTGAGGAAAGTTGTGCAATCAGTCCATGACACTGGCTCTAAGCATCTGCTGAAAGGGATTTCACTGGGGTGTGTGAGTTCCTGCACAACGTGGTTTCCTGCTTCCCACTTGCCTGTGCCCATCATGATGGCAGGCATTGCTCTATACAAGGAATCAGATACAACTACAATTCCATTTCCTGGAATTTCAATGGGAGGGAGTTAATCACAGGTCGCACTGAAACCAATAGGACTTCAGTTAAGTTAGTCTGGATCCAACTCAAGGCTCTTTAACATTCAGCGGGTCATGAAATGTGTTTCTTCAAGACCTGTTTGCAGGTGCCAATGGATGCAAACAGGTCTTGAAGAAACACATTTCATGACCTACTGACATGCAATAAACATCACCCTCCTCCAAGAGCATTACGCCACAGAACAAATTGGCACAAATCCATCAGGAAAATGAACCCATGATGAACTTTAGCCATCATCCTGGCACAGGCAGCCAGGAACAAAATGAGCTGATTCAAGGTAAGCAATTGCTAGATATCAAATTTCATCTGAAGTTTCTGTTTCTCATGAGAAGGTTCACAAGTCATAAAGTCTAGAGAGGTGATGTGCTGCTCCAAACTCTCAGGCAAGAATGGACAGCCTGTGGCCTTCCAAGATGGTGTTGGACTCTCAACTTCAATCAGCTCCACCCAGCATGGCCAAGGGTAAAGAATGATGCACGTTGTAGTCCAAGAACATCTGGAGGGCCAAAGGTTTCCCATTCTTGTAGGAGTAACACTTGACTCTCTGCCAGCTCCATGTCATATGTATCTCCTCCTCAACTTTCTGGAGATGTGTCTCTCCTTCACAGTTTACTGTAAACATTGGTATGCACATGGAAAAAAGTGCATGAATCTGAAAATACAAATCATTTGTTGGGTTTAGGCATCTGAACCAGTGAGCTTCATAACTAATTAGAACTTACTTTCAGCAACTGACCAAGTTAACTTTGATATTTCCGGTCTGCAGAGTAAGCAAGGGCTTGTAGGATTTGTGTCACCTTCACCATAACAAAGTCCATCTATGTTGCATGTTTTCTCCTTTGCAGAAATAAAACATCATTCATTAAGACTTCAGAATATTTTTCCTGCATGTTTATTCGTGTGCCACAAACTGTCAAAGCAGTGGCCTACTAGTTACTCTCACATGCCCCCAGCCTCAATTTAATTTTTGCATGCTTCAGAGAGTTCACAACTTGTAACAAGCCAGGTCTTCAGAAAGGTATTCTACACCACTGTCGCGAAAATTAACAGAACTTGGGCTGGACCGAGTATGGCCATGCTCTTGCACAAACAACATGCCTTCCAGTAGGGCATTCAGGAAATCCTTTGTAGTCCATACCTGATAGGATTTCAAGGTGCCTTGTTGAAACGACTGAGTTTGGTGTTTCAATTCTTGATCACGCAAAAGTCCACTATGGAAATCTGAATTATTGGGAGGAGCAATGCAAAGAAATAGAGGAAAACAACAGAATGGGAAGAACCAGAGATCTGTTCAAGAAAATCGGAAATATGAAAGGAACATTTCGTACAAAGATTACCATAATAAAGGACAAAAGTGGTAAAGACCTAACTGAAGCAGAAGACATCAAGAAGAGGTGACAAGAATACACAGAGGAATTATACCAGAAAGATATGGATGTCTCAGTACACCCCAGGTAGTGTGGTTGCTGACCTTGAGCCAGACATCCTGGAGAGTGAAGTCAAATGGGCCTTAGAAAGCACTGCAAATAACAAGGCCAGTGGAAGTGATGGTATTCCAGCTGAACTGTTTAAAATTTTAAAAGATGATGCTGTTAAGGTGCTACACTCAATATGCCAGCAAGTTTGGAAAACTCAGCAGTGGCCAGAGGATTGGAGAAGATCAGTCTACATCCCAATCCCAAAGAAAGGCAGTGCCAAAGAATGCTCCAACTACCGCACAATTTCACTCATTTCACACGCTAGCAAGGTTATGCTTAAAATTCTACAAGGAAGGCTCAAGCAGTATGTGGACCGAGAACTCCCAGAAGTGCAAGCTGGATTTAGAAAAGGCAGAGGAACCAGAAACCAAATTGCAAACATGCGCTGGATTATGGAAAAAGCTAGAGAGTTCCAGAAAGACATCTACTTCTGCTTCATTGACTATGCAAAAGCCTTTGACTGTGTCGACTACAGCAAACTATGGCAAGTTCTTAAAGAAATGGGAGTGCCTGATCACCTCATCTGTCTCCTGAGAAATCTCTATGTGGGACAAGAAGCTACAGTTAGAACTGGATATGGAACAACTGATTGGTTTAAAATTGGGAAAGGAGTACGGCAAGGCTGTATATTGTCTCCCTGCTTATTTAACTTATATGCAGAATACATCATGCGAAAGGCTGGGCTGGATGAATCCCAAGCCGGAATTAAGATTGCCGGAAGAAATATCAACAACCTCAGATATGCAGATGACACAACCTTGATGGCAGAAAGTGAAGAGGAATTAAAGAACCTCTTAATGAGGGTGAAAGAGGAGAGCGCAAAATATGGTCTGAAGCTCAACATCAAAAAAAACGAAGATCATGGCCACTGGGCCCATCACCTCCTGGCAAATAGAAGGGAAGAAATGGAGGCAGTGAGAGATTTTACTTTCTTGGGCTCCATGATCACTGCAGATGGTGACAGCAGTCACGAAATTAAAAGACGCCTGCTCCTTGGGAGAAAGGCGATGGCAAACCTAGACAACATCTTAAAAAGCAGAGACATCACCTTGCCAACAAAGGTCCGTATAGTAAAAGCCATGGTTTTCCCAGTAGTGATGTATGGAAGTGAGAGCTGGACCATAAAGAAGGCTGATCGCCGAAGAATTGATGCTTTTGAATTATGGTGCTGGAGGAGACTCTTGAGAGTCCCATGGACTGCAAGAAGATCAAACGTATCCATTCTTAAGGAAATCAGCCCTGAGTGCTCACTGGAAGGACAGATCGTGAAGCTGAGGCTCCAATACTTTGGCCACCTCATGAGAAGAGAAGACTCCCTGGAAAAGACCCTGATGTTGGGAAAGATGGAGGGCACAAGGAGAAGGGGACGACAGAGAATGAGATGGTTGGATGGTGTTCTTGAAGCTACCAGCATGAGTTTGGCCAAACTGAGGGAGGCAGTGGAGGACAGAAGTGCCTGGCGTGCTCTGGTCCATGGGGTCACGAAGAGTCGGACACGACTAAACAACTAAACAACAACATAGCAGATTGTGAATTTGGGTTGCAAATACCATAGAGATTTGCCTGGGAAGAATTCTTGCTGAACACAGTGGGACTTACTTCTGAGTAAACTTGCACAGAATTACCACATCCTTCCCTGAACTGGTGCCAGCCATATGTTGTTGGACTCTTCCATCAAGCCCAGTCAGCATGGCCAATGGTCAGGGATGGTGAGACTTGTAGTTTAGCAATGTCTGGGGGAACCAGGGCAGGGCAGGCATGATGACATTTATTCATATCAAATTTTTTTTGTGGATACCTGGTAATACAATACCATTTTGCATCCAAGTAGAAGCTGCCTGTTTTTACTTAGAAAATATCTTTTAAACAAACCATTCTGTGCCTGAGACAATCCATCAATGTTGTGCAGTGCAAAGCTTCCACAAAATCTGTGTTATGCTGATTCTAAGGGCTGCTCTGAAGCAGCTCTGCTATTGATCTAGGGCAGAGTTGGAGAAATGGCAGTCCTCCAGATGCTGGACTACAACTCCCATCATCCCCAGCCACATGGCCAATGAGCAGGGATGGTGGGAGTCGGAGTTCAAGAACATCTGGAGGGCCATAGTTTTCCCATCCCAAATTTAGGAGATGTGAGACTCAGTAGCGCACACAAGGAAGTGATATTGTCATGGCTGTGATAACCTCTTAGACCTAGAGATGTGTGAGACACCTTAAGGACAGGAGGAGGAGGAAGGGCTGAAAGAGAGCACTTTCCCTTCTGGAAACAAGCAACAAACACATCAGAAGTTATTTCTGGAATGAATCCAGTCAACCCAGTAGGAAGCTGGGAAGCAGCATTACGAGTAAAGTTGGGAAGTAAGGCATTACAAGTAACAGACTGCCTACTTCCAACCTGTGAACCTTAAAAGTTTCATGTTCCCATCACCACTGACTATTGGCCATCCTGGTTGGAGCTGTTAGCCAATGGGGAACTCCCCAGATGCTGCTATCTCTGCACATTTAGCTGGGAGTCTCACTTAACTCAATCAGGCTTGCTTCTGAGCAGACATGTCTAGGACAGTATTGTTGGTCCTATGCATCTGATGGTGTGGACTCTAGTCATGAATACATGTGCCATAAATAAACGTGTTGCTCTTTAAGGGAGTAAACCCCAAGGAAAAATCTGTACTCGCTCCCTTGCTGAGGAGCAAACCCTACACAAATATGGAGTGGAGTCCCCAAGATGGTTGGATCACGTCTTGTACACCTCCTTCCAGCAACTCCCGGAGCCAGGCTCCTGCCAAACGTATTGCTCTGCTTCCCCTTGCATCACATCAGCAAGCCCAAGAGTGGGGGGCTTGTAATCTGGGCAGCCCAGGACCCCCATTCACATTGCCAGGGCTTGCACTCCAGAGAGGTCACTTTGGCGCTGCTAATGCAGCAAAAACAACGCAGGAGGCAGCAGTTATGAGTTACCGATCTCTGCAGCCACAGCAGGCACTATGATTCTCCAGTGGTTTGGCTTCACCCCCGGTGGAGCACTCTATCATCTCTTGAGACAGACAGATGCCAACAACAGCTCATTAAGGTGCCACAAGACTCACAGCTATAACGGATTAACACTGTTGCCCCTCCAGAAATTGTGTATTGCATATTTAACT